ATAGAATCAATAGCTCGTTTATTCCTGAAAGTGAACGAATTAGTTTAATGGCCATTCACATGACTTTTGTCAAATGTGATTAAGTCATATTAGATGGTTATGAAGTTCGATGCATAATTGAATCGAGAACTTCAGTCCCTGGGGGATGCACCTGGCGTTGCGTAGTTATGAGTCAGTGCGATGCAATCAAAGGGGTCTAGTGGAATCTGGGAAAATGAGAATAGAAGGAGACTTCCTGATAATAGATGTTTTCATAAATTCTTTCTGCACGTGTTAAGAAAATTGGCCTTCTGTCGTAATTCAATTTAGCAAATTATAACCATGATTCTTACCACTGAGTCTGAGAGTTTCATTTATTATAGCCTAAATTGGACAGCCTTATGACACTTTGAAATCCTGGGAAAATGCAGAGATAAGTGTGACACGGTAAGAATATCATAAATTGGTTTATCTCAAAATTGGAGATGCATATTCCTGGGAAAAAAAGTTGACATCAATAAATCAAAACTAAAGATGGGACAATCTTTCCACCAACATCAACCCACCCCCTTTAATCTATTTTTACTGCCACATCATCAAACTTTAAGTTTTTCTTAACAAAACAAACCTGTTTATTCTCGTAATTAGAATTCTTGACAGAAATGAAGTTAAACAACAAACAAGAATAAGGGTTAATATGACATTATCTTTATGACAAAAATAAAGATGATGAATAAATCTAATAACATTCTATTCTAAGGTTCGCGAAGTAAGTACCTTCCGATCCCTCTTATTCCCTAATTAATGCTTCACTTACAAATCAACCCAGCTTTATTTTCAAATTAATATTTCCCGTCATTTGCTTCACTTAAAGCCTATTATCCAAAAATCATTCAATAGAAGCTAGTAATTATTCGAAGAACTGAAAGTTGACAGATAATTATTTAATCAAAGGTTACTTATCAGACGGCTTATCACGTAAGTCGCTATTAACATCCGGACCCTGGTTTTCTATTCATTAAACATTGAATGGAACAATAATTATTTGGAGTATAGCAATGTATCATGATTAAAGTAAAGCCGAGATCTCGCGGGGATTTTCCTAATTGGCATGTATTGTATTTTATGCGGTAGAGTGAATCAAACTTTAATTTAATTTCGCTAACTTGTCAAGTCCATTTATCTCGATGTCTTTCCTCTTTAATCCCTTTGCGAGTGATTATTTGCAAATTGCATTGATAAAGAAAAAATAAGTTACCGCTTTTTCATCTCTATTACTCTATTTGCATTATTTTTAGCGCAGAAAGTGTCGAAGCACAAAGAAATCTAAGAAGCTTGAGAATGTAATTAGTAACGATGTTGTAAGTCCATTAGTCCTTTACTTAGCTTTATTCAGAAGGATTTACCGTGCTTATGTTCGCCGTCATTTGCAGGTGTTGAAAATAATAGCACCTATAGAAATTATTAAAGCAAAATAAACACCAAGGTTATGGAATAAAATGCTGATTTTTTAAACTTTTATTTACTGTGTCAATCAACAAATGGGTCAAAAAAGAATTTTGAATGATTATTGTCTATCTAAGAGATGATAAAATTAATCCATTAATTAAAAAAATAATTTTACCAAAAAGGATTTAGTAGCTGAATAGCAGGGACAGGCATTCAATAAGATAAATATTCTATTGATTCATGATTATCTGCCATTTGACATAAAACATATTAAAAAAAATAATAAAAACAAAACAAAAACAAAGACATGTCATATTTCAAGGTAATCTAAACATCAAGTTCATGATCAGAAAAATACATTATTGTTGTTTTAGTAAACAAATTATAAATGATTGATGAAACTCTAATCCAAGATTGTGTCTGATATTATTCTAAATTAAAGTTATTTAACATCTTCAATATTATAAGGTGATTGAATAACTATAAAAACAAAACCATAAACATTAAAGGAAACCATCTTTGAATATGCGCAAAACATTTCCTCAGGTAGTATTCTCATAAATTGGATAATATTTGACACCTCAATATTTCATGTTTCTACTCTAAATCATACCCAGCAATTAAATCTAATTACAATCGAAGAAATTATAACAAATGGGGGAAATAATCTTGTAGATTTGACTAAAACTTAAAATTAAGAATATCATTAATTTTGTTAATATGGTCAAGAATACGACACAAGAGTAATCACTGAAATTAAGGCACAATTTGTCGATTCTTGCTTCATTAAGTCAAATAAGTAGCGTGGCTAGTTAAATGGAAACTTTGCAGCATTGTTAATCTACATTTAATTCCAAATTGAATCTAAATTATTGGTCAGATGATATGTCTTTATAAAAGTCTCTATGGCTCAAATAAGTACCGTTTTTCTAAGATCAACACTGGCCACTGAAAATATATTTTTGTCAAGCGTATACACTCTATACATTGTGCACTATAGTAATCTCTTAAATTGAAAATCTCCTAAAAGCTGTTCTGCTCAATTACAATACAATGCTTTCATAACTTCTACAGACTAATCGTCTAATAGCGCCTTGGGAAAGAGATAATCTGAGGATTAATGGGGTTATATTTTTTCTTCGCTGGTCACTATACATCAATCATTTTGGAAAAAGTGTCAGAATAATAAGCATTTAATTAAATATAAATGTGGTATTGAATGTGGTACATGATTAAATTCATAATGCCTTTACATGGTGATAAGCTAGTATTTATACAGAATAAAAGTATTATATTACAGAATCATTGTTACTTAAAGAGATAGGTAATACACAATTAAAGAGGGATGATTTTTATTAATGGCTCAATTATGACCTTTAATTGGTAGGAGATAATTACAATTGTTCGGAATCATTTAATGGGATTTCAATGTACTCTGGTCAAATCTACCAATTAACAACCAGAATTAGTCTAATACTTAATTGGTTATAATTAATTTCAGACTGAGAAAGCAAGAATATTCTATTAGATAAATTTTAAAAGATTTGGATAACACCTCTCATATTGAATACCACTCAATGCGAACACTTTTTCTCAGTCGCAAATTTATTATCTCCCTCGACTCACATAGAAAGGTTTTTCTGTACAAATATAAGATTAGAAATATTAAACAAAAATTAAATTACCTTGATGAGTATGCAACTGAAAGATCACTTTACCAAACAGTAAACAAAGCATAAACATGCAACAAGCACCTGCCATTTGTTACATACAGCTGAGCGCTGAACACCAACCTCTGAACACCATCCACAAAAAAGTTGGAGACTATGAAAACATGTCACAATTTGTAGTGGTGACATACAAAAGAATTTATCCATCGTGCCTAAAATACAAAATCCTAACACAGTCAACAATGGCAGAAGAAAATGTCATGTTCTCTATTATAATTATTCACACAAGCCCATAATTTGCTGAGCATAACCAAGTTGAAATCAAACGAGAAAAAAACGATTTATCAAAGTCTGAGATGCTATTAATTATGAAGATGGACAGAACCCATTAATAACAATAATACATGAGTTGCTTAATGAACCATGACCAATTAAAAACCTTGACCAATCGACAAGGATCAGGTCTCTGATTATAGTAAAGAAATTATCCACTATGACTTTAATTTGTTATCTAAAGGTGGACATTGATGACCTATGGCCCCCTAGTTGTACATCAAAATTGACAGTTTTCCCTTATTACTTTCTAATGAATATAATTCTGGACAATCGTGGATGAACATACAGGCATTATGTTTTTTAAGATTTTATTTTCCACCATTTTGACCAATAAATACTGTTTCTATGTCTTGATTGCTCACAATCTGAGTAAGAGTAAATAAAATAGTAATGAATGAATTATATACCAGACTGAAGCACAACTAAGATAAGCCCAAAAATGGTCTACCTAAGATGTTTTTTTGGGGTCTCCTTCTTTTGAGAAAATATGCCTTTTGGAAAGATGGGCCTCACATTTTGAAAAAAGGTCCAAATTAAAAAACGAGCCTAAGATATAAAAATTGGTCATTCCTGATGGACAATAAATCAAATCCTCAACTGATCACACCAAAATCTCATCAATGCTCATCAAGACCAAAGGTTAGCAGCAAGAGCACATTGTCCCCATACTGCCCTCCTAGATGCTGTATGATAAATGTCTCCAGAGGCAGAACACATTTATCTCAATCTGGAGTTTTTAATAAATCTAATGGATTATTTTAGTCCGTTAATCATTAGTTTATGGTGTTCTAATTGTATGTTATACTGGGTGACTGCATTCATACATACGCATGCATTAATCTAACTTAGAATATTCATCTTAGCTGGGATGTATCATTTTTAAACAATTTGTATTTTATAGTTTGCATTGCCAATGCTAGACAAGGCATTAACATGCAAAATGCCACCACCTGCCATTTGTTAAAGATGATGAACTCCAAACACTGTCCACAAAAATGTTGAAGACTATAACAACATGTCACCACTTGTGGTGGGGACATAAAAACTCATGTTTGATCAATCCTGTATCATAATATAGTAAAACCTGTGTTATTGGAATACCTTTGATGGCTCAAAATAATGTTCCACTTTGGATGTGTTCCACTCACAAAGGTTCATTCTACATTAAGGTGATAAGAAACTGGGTAACTGGAAAGGTGTTTCACTTTACAGATTTCACTGTATGTTGTAACTACAGGATAATTTCCCTCTCCAATTCTTAAGTACTGATAATTTCCCTCCCTCAACTTGTAAGCACAGATAATTTCCCTCCATCAACTTGTAAGTACAGATAATTTCCCTCCCTCAACTTGTAAGTACAGATAATTTTCCTCCCTCAACTTGTAAGTACAGATAATTTCCCTCCCTCAACTTGTACGAGTATGTAGGTACAGCACTGAGGTACAGATAATTTCCCTTGACTTGCAAAAATCAAAATCTGATATAAGTAAGCCAACAAACACTTTTATCACAATCAAACAAACCAGGACAGCACCATAACAATAAACAAAAGTCTTTCTTACAAATAGTCTTACAAAATATATTGCTTACAAAACTCCTGTATTTACATTATGCCTTCTACAATTAATTACATTCATGACAGGTCTGTAGACTAATAATCCTAAGTCGTCTACTTTGCTTTATATTAAATTTGTCTCTGTTACATTCATTCTTACACCCATTGTTAGTATTTAAGTCTTAAATACTTGATTTTGGTTGTTTAATAGCCAGTAATGTATTTCTGGTTAAAAGTAGTATATTTTTCATATTTAATCGCTATAATAAGTCTACCCCATTTACATGTTCTTCTGACTAACAAAATGGTCAACTGCTGACTAGCAAAATTATATCTCTCTACTGTAACTGTAAACTTTGACTTGGTTTCTCAATTTACAATGTCTACATATATATTCTTTGCAGTCACCTACGGGGTGGTTGATAATTGTATGCTTATATGTGGTCACTGTAAATATTTATTACTAAACAGAAAATGTTTATGTATTCATGTATATTTACCTTGGGTTTCTGTGGTTTTTAAAAGTCTTAAAAATAAATAGCCACAAATATGTTGGGTAATGATAGTCCCATTTGGCAATCCGTTTGTCAATGACATCATAACTGGACAGCCATAAGCCAGTCTCTATTGTCATTTTCACTACCTACTAAACAATAGCATGCACTTAACTATTGAACAGTAAACAATAAACTAATTCTTGTGAAAATGAAACACTGACTTGTCCCTCTGGAATGATAATCCAATACTAGATGCTCCCTCAGTTTTTGATACAGTCGACCATGCCACTGCCTTCAACGCCATTGTAGAAGAAAAAGTTATTATGCGGCACATCTTTCTGAGAAACAGCCTGGAATCACAATATTATGATGTGTATAATATTTCAGAAATAAGCAGTCAACAAATAAAGTTGAATTATACTTTATAAATTTCCAATTTAATCAATTGTTTACCTTAATGACCTCTCCACCCAGAATTCCTCCAAGAATTGCACATACTGGACTCAGTTCAGCTACACAATGGCTAAAATAATACAAACAGAACATTTATATAGAATTTAAACAGAGAATCAGAGATAGCGAGCAGGCTAAACAAAAAATTGTTTCAATTTTAGAATATTTTTGGCTCATGTCATTCCTTGTCATGTCTATTTTCTAAAAATCACAAAAGTGCATACTTTATTCAAGGAAAACTAAAGATTTTTACAATAATGTATTATTTTTCTATAAGAATGGTTACCATTCTTATTATTTGGGAGAATTTAAACATTTTTCACCAATTTTTGCACTTTGAATCATTAATAACTTGAACACACATTATTGTCGAACTTCATACAAATCAAGTAATAGATGGCAGCACGTTACAAAGCCAGAATTTTAGTCCCAACAACAGTATTTCAAGTTTGTTTCAATGAGAGAGCTCTTTTGGCCCAAATTAATTCCTTTCATGCCCATCTTCAAAAAATCTAAACAGTTCATACTTTATTTCAGGAAATTCACAGACTGACTTGTTCTCACTTCAGTTAATGCCTTGGTCACATATGCTCCGATTTTCACTACGGCGCCCGGCCGTTTGAGTATTTTGTTCAAAATTGAATACAATATTGAACAAAACACTCAATCGGGCGGGCGCCGGCCGATGGATCTGAGCATATGTGACCCAGGCATAAACAATGATCATGAACAAAAATTGTTAAAGAGGGCAGCACCTCCAAGGCACATGATATTGGAATAGGGGGATTAAGCTACATGTTTTAAGAAATTGTACATGAACGTATGAAATTATGGTCCTATAGGAATTAGTTCTCCACTTAGCAGTTTCAACTTGCCTGATTGAGTATAACGCTTTAAGAAAATAGTTGTGATGGAAAAACCAAATAAGGAGAAAATAAATCCTTGGCCTTAGGGGTCATAAAACTACACATTCACTTACAACTTTTCTTAAAAATGTGTAGCTTAGCCTCCCTAATATTACATCCTAGTTATGTAAATGAAATATGAAATATACCTAGCAAAATCATCTCCGACAATATCTGGTTTGATGTGTAATTGTTCAGAGATAGCATCCCGAAGTTTGAGCAACTTTTCCTTGTCAGACTCTGCCTCCTTAACAGTTGGCTGTCTGCCCTCTTGAGATCTGAATGCATGTAGCACTGGAATACATAAACAACAACAGTTAATGCATAGATATATAATTTGACAGGAGTAACATTACCATCAACCTTCTGAAACAAAATATGCTAAAAATGTTAACTATGATGTCGTTAGTTTTTATTGTGATGTATTGTGACCTGAATGCATGTAGCACTGGAAAACATGTACAACAACAATGAATAATAACATCAGAATTAAAAACTAAGGACAGCATGATTATTAAGATTTTAGCATTATTTGACTTAAGAAGGATGATGGTAATGTTATTCATGTCCATTGACAGATCAAAATGATGAGCAATAGAACGAAACACTCTTCAAATTGGAGATACAAAAATATAACAGCCTTGCATCAAAATAATACTGCGAATAAATAAATCTACATCTAATCTACAAGCTCCCTATAATTAGCATAGAGTCATGGGCTTTCAAGAGATAGAGCCAAATACATGTAAAATTAAAACAAATCTCTTGGCCCAAAATTTATGTTTCTATGTGTACATTGATCTATCTACAATTTTGAACCAATATAATCAGTACAAGCCTACAAGGACACACATTTGTATTTTATACACTTTTAATTTTAAAAATATTGACAATATCAGACCAGTTTCCGAATTGTGAGATTTGTCGTCAAATCATGTTGCCTATTCGTTAAAAATTCACAAATATAATGGATATTCATTTTCTAACAATGCACAATATATTAATCCTATATAGCAGCATCAAAGAGCTTTCATTCTTGCATGCCATGATGTGTCATTCATTCAACTTACCTTGCATTATGAAATATGTATTTGGAGTACGCTTCAATCGCCTAACCATAGCCTCAGATGTCCAGTCTACATTCAAGGCCTCTTTTAATCGTACAAAGCTGGTTTCCTTAAGGAAAAATAACACTTTTTATTCTAGCAAATTAGGATATGTATATATTTGCTTGATAATATGTTAAAATATTTTTGGAGTCAAACAATTAACAAAACACCTTTTATGACATATTTGACTGGTTCCATTCTGGTATCAGATACAGCAAGTTATATGTAGTATATATGTGCTGGTATATTCATAATAACTCACTCTTTCAACAGTGACAGTTTCAAGTTCTTCAGTCTTGGCTTTTTTCTCTTGGGGTTCCCCAGAGTCACTCGTGGAATCCTTCTTTACACGCTTGGTGATTTCTCTGAAAAAGTGATATCAAAAGAGTATATTTTTGATCTGATTTGCATATAACTATTAAGCAATATACATCTTTCTCCCAAATATTAAGAAAATAGTTCCACTAGTAGATGAGTTATGCTCCGAACAGACATATCAACATTGGGAGGGCTTCAATTGATCCCTAACAAGCTTCATTTTTAGTTTTTATGGTTTATTTATTCAAATTAGCAAATTAACATGCACAAGACAGAATCTTCATTTGTTGGGATTTGAGTAAACAGAGTATTTCTTAAAAACTAGATCGTTTTTTAAACTTGATAATGAGGTGCCTGAATACCTTTTTGCGAAATACAAAGTGTATAGCTGAATCTTTTTAACTGGGGATGCTGAACCTCACACTGATAGTTCACAATTGCAAGATAAATGGTGAATACTCATATACAAGTATAATGGGAAAAATATGATATTCTATACAAGCCAGTTTCTCGAAAATGAATGATCATAGAGCAATGGTGTGATTACCATGTGAAAATGGATATGAGCATTAATTCAGATGAATGACAATTTATTTTGTCTGAAAATTGTTGACGAACAAATAGACAGACAGATTCATCGATAAGTGGGTAATCTTATCGTTTGACCATGTGAACATGTTATTTTATGGCTATACAGTGTAGGCATACTTACTCTGCAAATTTATGATCGTTCAAATCAGAGAACATGTATCCATAGTAACCATACACATCACCAGCGAAAAATTTGATATTGTTGGCAAATGAGATTTCATTGACTCTAAGCAGTTGTTCCTGACTACAGCAAGTTGCACATATGACATCAAAGTTCTTGAAGAATTCATCTGATTTGTCATCAACACTTTCTTTGTCAGCTGTCATTTCTACCATTGGATTGAGAAGCTGGGTCCTTGTTAGTGAGCTTTCGGCTCTCTGAAAAGAACATACATGTATTTTATATCAGCTCCAAAACAGTAATTTCAAAGGGTTTAATGGCAATATATCAACTCTGGTTTTACCATGGTTTTATATAATCACTTCCAGTATTGCAGGCAGTCTGGGATAACCAATGAGAAACGGCTTTGCACCAATCCTCTAATAAAGTGGGGAACAAAAATAATCCTCAACCATCAAAAGTTGTCACAATGAGCTAAATTCTAAGTTTTGTGTCTCAAACTCCCCCAAGCGGTAGAAAAATAATTCCCGTTCACTTTAAGTAGCACAATAAATGAATCCATAGCTTCATACCTGCAAATGATGGATAAATCCCTACCAAATCGAACGAATATATTCATGAATCGCCATGTTTGTGATCCAAGGAGGATTGACTCCCAGAATGCAACACCAGTTAACCTTATTTACTCGTGACAGGTTTCAAAATGGCGGAAAGGCATTTTGAAAGCTGGCACGTGTCATGTTGCATTCTGGGAGCCAATCCTCATTGCGGCGTAATCGGGCTCGAAAATCACCTCAACATTTGAAGAGTCGGAATTAACATGTGAATATCACTTCAAATTTTTAAGTTCTTATTATGGACACAAATTATGGACACAAATTTCACTATATCTGGACTTACTAGGACGGAGAAAATAGAGCACTGAATACACTGAGGTAAGAATTTATACATGTGCGACAGCATGTAATTTTCATAGCTAATAGTAATTCTTTATGTTCCCCACTGTACTTACATTTTTACCAATATCAGATCTATCAATGAGGAATTGTGCGCAAACATCTTCTTCTGTAGCAATTGTATGATCCATGAGTGTGATTGATTTGATTCCAGCGAGAACAATATTTTTCGCAACTTCAGCACCAAGCCCACGCAGGCCAATCAGAAGAACCCGGGCAGCACGAAGACTAAAATAAACCAATGTTAATTGTAAATGAAATTTAGTTCACAGATTTCGAGCTCGATGGGTCAAGATTGCAGTAAAAAATCCCATTGACGACCATTATAACGTTTCATTACATAATATATTCATGGGCACAGATCTAGCTCAGCGAAACAGTGCCCAGTGTTCATTGGAGTCTTGTCTAGCTTGCCGTTACAAAATAAGCATACGGTGACCACACCGTTTTTGAGATAACTGAATCTGGAGAGAGCTACCACCGTAAAGCTACCTGTTTCAGAAAATTATTCTGCTCTACATAGTCTCAAAAATCACTCCGCCATCTATAAAAATTCTGTTTCTAACCAAACTTGTAAATGTTTCCTGATAAATTAGTACTTACCCTATCGAAAATAAACCTTGATTCATTTATCAAACACTAGATGGCGCTGCGACGGGACAGAAAAGGAGAAAAGCTTTTTTATACAGAAAACCAAATAACCAACGGTAACCGCTAGTATCCCTACTCCGGACTATATTCTAATAGTGACACGGTTGAATGATTTTGTGCCAGAAATCTTGTTTTTCTTAAACATTAGAGTGTTTCAAGACTTTTTGTGCAATTTAAGCCCAATCGCACCAATAAAAGAGCTTTTATAGCTGCTTTGTTAACCCCGGAGTCATTTATTTTAGGGCCATGCAGTTTTATACATAACTGACCATTTTTGCAATAGAAATACTGCTACTCGCTATGGCTTAACAAAAATTCACAACATTTAGCATGTCAAAACGTTTATTCGTACTTCCATAATGTTTATTGCCAAAATCACTGAACCATGAAACAAAAAAATGGTCAAATCTAGTCATTTTCGGTCAGAGATTACCCCAAATTAGCCATTATTTAGTGATTAATTTTCAGTAAATGAGCTTCTATATTAAATTATCATATCAGTTTTGCAAAGCAATGTTCTTGTTTTAATTACATGCATGTTAGTAACTGTTTTCAGCCATATTTGGTCAGTCTATGGGGTTAAATGTGTCAATTTTGTCATATATTTTCAAGAAAAATTCAGACACAAAGGAAAAGGCTGTATTACATGCTATGATAATGGCTGAATCCTTAAATTCGGTAATAATTTGATAAAAGCCTGTCAACAACCTCTTAAAACCAGCACTAACAGCCCTCTTGTGCTATCCTGTAACAAAATACAGGCCAAAAATGGTCAAAACCTGTGATTTTTAGGTAAAAAATGAAAAATGCTGAATCAGCGAAAATCTAAATTGCTAATTCTTCGGATGATTTGATTTTTCTTAGAGATGCAAGGTACACATTGCTAAGAAAGTGTAATTTTTACAAAAATAACGCTATTTCCCACCCTAGTACTGTCACCACCCTGTTGCTAATAGGGTCAAGATTGCAGTAAAAAATCCCATTGACGACCATTATAACGTTTCATTACATAATATATTCATGGGCACAGATCTAGCTCAGCGAAACAGTGCCCAGTGTTCATTGGAGTCTTGTCTAGCTTGCCGTTACAAAATAAGCATACGGTGACCACACCGTTTTTGAGATAACTGAATCTGGAGAGAGCTACCACCGTAAAGCTACCTGTTTCAGAAAATTATTCTGCTCTACATAGTCTCAAAAATCACTCCGCCATCTATAAAAATTCTGTTTCTAACCAAACTTGTAAATATTTCCTGATAAATTAGTACTTACCCTATCGAAAATAAACCTTGATTCATTTATCAAACACTAGATGGCGCTGCGACGGGACAGAAAAGGAGAAAAGCTTTTTTATACAGAAAACCAAATAACCAACGGTAACCGCTAGTATCCCTACTCCGGACTATATTCGATGTGTGCAATAACAATATAAAACAAAGATACTCTATTATCGCCCACGGAAAATAACATGTGAAATAACAGGTATGATAATTACCGTTTCTGAGCGTCTAATCCCCATAAACGTATCTGCCTATCATACAGCTCTGCTTCATTCTCTGTTATATCTACACTTTGATCTCCAGACATGTCAGTATTTAGTAATATACGCACAAATGTTGAAAATTTGTGAAACTTCAAATTTTTCCTGAAAACCAAGAGTATTTGAAACAAGAGTGCTGATTGGTTAAAAAGGCTAGTTCCGTTTTTTGCACCAATCAAATTTCTTCTTTCAAATAGCCACGTCTTTTAATAAAGATGGTTCTTCTAGAAAACGATGCGGTAAGTTCACTATAAAACAACGATTTTCTCGGTATATAGCCTTATTAAAATTATAATGATTAGTGTTTATGTTTTATTCATTACACCACGGATCTATTTATTATTGCAGTTTCTCAGTGAGCTGACCAAGTTGTTCCAAAAATCAAAGACATCTGGGTCTCTAAACCTCACCATGAAAAGATGTGAGTATCAGTTCATAGATCCCGGCACAGATGTTGGCCAGACTGTTTTGTAGTAGTATCCCATAGGCTCAAATAATAATTCACAAGATGCGTCACTTAATTGGAAAATTTCAAAAAAGTGACCGCCTTTCAAAACGTTCCTTATACAAAATGGTAACTGCTTCCCCGCGACAGATTTTGCACTTATAGCTGAGATCTTCATCTTTCTATTTCTACTTGTTTAGTTCAAGTAAATAACCTATGGATGCAGTTATTTGACTTTTAATGCAGCAAATATTTTTCACTTGATCCTGGCTCTCTCTTCTCACAGCTGGTGACCCAAATGCCGCTAAAATCAGGGAATCTGTATATATCACAGCACTTCTTGTGATTTGTCTTTGACCTATGACTTAGTATGTATCCAACAGACCGAATATAATATTCGGTCTGTTATGATTGATATATTTCCTGTGGAAATCGCGGTGATATTTTTTGCACATTAATTTCTCGTTTATTATAAGAATGTTCACCTTGAAAATTGGTGAATATGTTGAAGAGATGTTCATCTTAAACTAGAAGCAAAAATATTTGTATAAGGCGGGTACAAGTTGATATAAAATAATGAAATGTTCAGACTCACCGAAACTTCAGGATGTGTTCATAAGTAGATCGCGAAATCAATGTCAAGGACGTTTGAGTTCACGAGATCCAAACGAGATATGCAAATTTTGAACTTTGACAACACATGACCACTTGATTACCTCGGCCTTCTTCATGAATATTTCCGCTCTATTTACTATAAATGAAGAAAATTAATCGGGATAATGATAATAAATGACTAGATCTAATAAATTCCCGCACAAATGGAATTTAGCAATACGCTTCCGTAATGTTGCTCCCGCTCCACGTGTTATTTGTTTACAAATAGACTGACGTCACTGGCTAAATCTCGTTTATCGTGAGAATTGGCATTGCCAAAATGGCTTGACCTAATCAATGGCTTCGCTACAAGAAGCGTCTGTACATTTTATGAATATCTTCAGTAAGAGGACAATATACGAAAAAATAATATTGTGAGTTCTTTATAAGGTAATCATTCTATCATTAAACAAACTTATTTGTAACATTTATACAACACCACATTTTACAATAGGTGACTTACAGTCTGAATATTTATTCAGACGAAGGATACAGTCTAACCTATGACTGCTGACCTATACCGGCGATTACTAGAGTGCTGCTAACTCGATAAAAGGCTGGCGCTGGCTAGAATTGTCTATGGTTCTAGCCAGGATAAAGATACCAGTTCTTCAACTCGACAATGGGAAGAACTGCTCTACCTAAGTGACTAATATGTCATGATATGACATCTAAAGAGTCGATAAAAGATATATATAGCAGAATAATGTACCAACAGAAAGGTATTTTTGTTATGCTTTGAATGGAACAAGTTTGAAGAAAAACGGTGCAGTATGAGACTCGCAATCCTTGATTTTCAAACATCTGGTAGGTCAAAAATTCAAATTAATGGTCGAAGTTAGTACCGTGTGGTAGTAGGATCAGTAGTTCAATAAATATTCCTGAATTATTCTTTGAGCCTATGAGACCCTACTGCAAAACGATCTGGCCAACATCTATGTGCTGTGATTCCAGAAATGTGACGTCAGCATTACAATGATATTTGGACACAAAAGAGCCCGGATCAATTGAGAAATATTTGCTGCATTAAAAGTCAAATTACTGCGTCCATATGTTGTTTACTCGAACCAAACAAATAGAAATAGAAAGATGATCAATGATCTTTAAAACATTAAATTATTACATTTTTTATAAGCATTTCAGTTCAGTTTTGTTACAGTTGATAAAGGATCCAGATGTGATCTGAAACGTTCTATGAAAATAAAGGTTGTGTATGAAAAATTGTCAATTTAACCTGATGAACATGTTTAAGAATATATTAAAATGTAAAATGTAAATTTTTTTAAAATTTTCTTTTACTTCAGATGATGGAAGGACAAAGCCACACCCACGTCCCTCTAAGGCACCACTTCATCCACATGAACCCTCCGAGTATCAGTGTTTAGTTAGGGCTCAATTAGGAAACAAGAAAATAAGCACTGTGGTATGTATTATATATGTCTAATGATAGAAAAAATGTACCTACCAAACTCTTGAACAATAGTATCAGCTGATCCCATTGAAAAAGTAGTATCTTTTTTTGGATCTATATTGTGATTCCTCCGCTCTAACGATTTTTGCTGAATATTGCAATCAAAATTTAAACCTAGACATGTATTTCATGGGTATAGCCTGGATGTAAAAGTAGGGGAGGCCTATGAGACAGTTTCAATTGAAAAATGACTGAATGTTTTTCTGTAAACGTTGCGCCCATGCCTGGCTCTACCATGATATTGGTACATTTACTTTCTGTTTCAATGTTGTTAAAAACAAAAGTTGACAATCATGCTTTTTTCTTTTCAGATACACCACAAAGATGTAAATAAATTTCAATTAGCTTATGCAAATCTTCTAAAAGGAAACATGGATGGACTTAAAAAGAGAGACAAAAAATCAGGAAAATCAAAGACTAAAGCAACGCAGTAATTTCATTCCCATTTGTAAATATTTATTGAGAATCATTCAGCACCAGAGTACAGGGTGACCCAGAAGTAGGTTTACAGTTATTCAACAATCTGTAAACTGTAACAGTAAACCTTCTTTTTGGCCGCCTAGTATGATAGGGAAGTTTAGATGTCATACCAAAAAATAAGTTTCATTGGGGTTGCTTTAATATTTGGGCATTGTTTGCTTCATCCTTTGAATTAATGCTTTATATAGGGGAGGAGATGGACTGAAGCAAAAATATTTGCTCTAAAACTAGATTGAAGAGTAGTGCAACCTTCTTATTTTATTATTTTTAGTAAAAAATATAGTGAACAAAAACAGTTCGAATTGAATGAGAAGATGAATGTTTTTAAGTGAGACTTAGTGCTTAGATGGAGCACTAAGGCAATGGAAATTCTGCATTTGAATTTGTTTTTCATTACATTCAAAGTTGTGCAATGTTATATAAATAACGCATTTGATTCAGAGAAAGGAGTAGACTACTTCTAAATAAGTGATAGGTAGTATTAAGTTTTCAAAAATGAATGCAAATCTTATCAATTTTATGAGAGCACTTTATTTGTCTATTGTTAACATATACAGTAAAACTTGTATATAATGAACACCTATGGAGCCACCAAAAGGTGTTCATCATGGGTTTCATTAGTAGCTGGCAATATCTCACATTGATTTTACCAAAAACTGTTGTTTTGAGGAAATTTGCAACTTGTTTCATCTTAGAATTTTAATTTCCCAAATATTTGCCTGTCAATTTCATTTGTTTCGACTGTTGTCAGAATTCCTAATGAAGCCCTGCTATTATTTGTAATTTCTTTGTATTTTCACCTTTATTGCATAAGATTATTAAATTTTAAAGTTTAAATTTTTATGCCGTTGTACAAACTTGTGCTGTTAAAATGAACTGTAAGAGTTCATATGACCTTGACTTGTAAATATTAATCCAGGTATCAACCAATTTTAATTATAAAAAATCAACTCGTATGAAGCTTGATTATGAAGCTAAAATGTCTTAGAATCATGGATGTAATTGAGAAAGGTACAACTACACGGATCATTCTTTCAATTATTATTAAGGAACAGAATACTTATTAAAAGTTTATTAGTTGCTCAGGGTTACCATGTTCAGAGAAAACAAGTAGTTTTTCCTGACCTGTAATATCAGGGAATTTCCTCAAAAAGTGGCTAAAATGGTCAGGGAAATATAGAATTCTGAGAAAGTTCAGGAATAACAAGTGGGTGAACATTTGAAAAGTTGAAAATTGCACAAAAAAAGTGAAAAAATATTTGAAATAACCTAAATGAAAATTCCTGAAATCATAGGCATGTTGTCTTTGAATCTGCAATTGTTTCTTATACCACAATTTTTTGTTCAGGGAATTTTACACTTAAATCAAGGAAAAGTTTGGGAAATGTTGTGGTGACCCTCTAATTGTTTTAAGTCTTTAACCATATGAATGTATATATTTTGCATAAATATACTTGTATAACTATTGTACCATAAGAGTTTATTTGTTACCTTTGTACATATCTTCTCCAGCTCATCAACATCATCTGCGAAAACTTGTTATCATCCCTAAAAAGATACCACATTTTACCGGATTTGTTTCAATTTATTCCCCTCTAAATTCCCTTGAAAAAATAACTTTCCCTCTATAAAAGCTCATTGGCATTCAAGAACTTTTAAATAAACACACATGCAAAATAATATCCAACAAAGCTTGATGAATTGATTCACAATTACCGAGGTGCCGGAAGGTAGTTTCCAGTTTCACCACAAGGTGGCTAATTTGGGTCAGATAACATTGCAGGTATAGTAAAAAATCCCCTAAACATGGATATTCGTCAGTTTTAATGGATTGATTTCCATGACGTTTATGCATGTTTTTGTGCTTAAAAATTGTACAAATGCAAATATATGTCCAATAAAAGAAAAGATATTTCTCTCTGTGCTAGGCTTCATACCTATGTACCCAACTTAGAAGTCACATTTTTAAAGAAAATTGAATTTTAAAAGTGAAAAAACAATTTTTAAACCTCATTGATATAATTTTACATTGAAGATTTCACTTTAACTTAGTTTTGAATATTTCATGAGGTAAATGGAGATTATATCGACTTGCAATTCTCAAGAATTTGTTAAAGAGCGATGTTCTGACAAAAGATATATCTATTTACACTGTAGGCATTAGGCACTAAATTATAGGAATATAATGAGAACAAAAAGTAAGAATTGTTTGACTTGTTGGAAAATAGGCATGAAATGATGAGGGTCACTCACTCAGAGACTAATAAGCACTGAATTGAAGACTTTAATCGCTAATTTCAAAGATAACGGCAAGATTGTTTGGTAGTACAGTCGTAGGACCAGTAGCTCAATAAATATTCCTATGTTAATATTTTTTGAGCTTCTGATCCTACTACTAAAGAATATTGCCAGCATCTATTGCTAATTTTGAACTCGCTATTTCATTAGTAGACAGTGAAAATATTTCAGAATCGGTATCCCGGGATTAGTGATTTGAAAATTTATTGTATTCCTTTTCGTATAGTGCATTTAAATCCACCAATCAGCGATCTTATAACAATTTGTATTGACCAATGAAAAACAACTTTACATCAATACGAGGTCAATTTAAAAGCAACTATTTTGTTTACAGCGTTGTTTCGTGTATTTATCAGGTATCGTAGATTAAACTGTTATTTTATCCAATTAATAGTCTTACATTTTGATGCAGAGTACTTCATGTTTGTGATTAAGATTACAGAAATAATGAGTAAACGATATTTTTCCGAGAAACAAACAGTTTTCTCCAATTTTTTTGTCGTTTCGATTTTTTTGTTTTTCACTTGCACTTTTATGATAAGATGGTGATTCAATAGCGCAAATGCTAGAGATTCAGGCCATATCGTACTTGAAAGTACAATTAAACTTTCCAAGCCATGATTAACACAATACCTGATGTTCGTGCTGCTGTGCTGTCTTCTTTTAGTTGTAGTAGTTGAATGGTGGCCTAGATTTAACGAGCGCATTCTAGGCCTATTGCCTGTACGATTACAGCTTGGGAGAATTATCTACGCCTCTTACACTTAAGATAACTACTTCAATAGATTCCTGGATATTTTAGCATTCTTTTCGTGTAGTTGATTCAAGTTGAATCCACAATTGTTTGGGTATATCGGCAGAATGGGAACATTTTTCTTTTTCATTCAGAGATATTCCATCACTTTCCAAGATGGCGGTTGGATTTTAAAGGGGATTCCTGTTTGGCTGACCAGGAAGTGGCCCGGATGACCAATAAATGGAAGAATTTGACGGTTGAAATAAGTTAAATATTACACGCAAATATTGTGATCAAAAACGAAAATTTCTTTGTTCTGCCGATAAACCCAGACAATTGTGGATTCAACTACACGAAAAGAATGCTAAAATACCAAGGAATCTATCGAAATAGGTATCTTAAGTGTAAGAAGCGTAGCAAATTCTCCCATGTTGTAATCGTAAAGGCAAAAGAATAAGACGTTCGCAGGACTATAGTCCTGGCACAGGATAAGCCTAGATATCTATAGACAGATTATAGACAAAATTCAGCTTTGAGTCAAATACTGACAACATTTTTCAACTACAAAATTTCAATACACAAGTACATTAGTTGTGGGGGTGATTTGAAAAACCAACCGCACATTTATGTAGGTAATTTAGGCCTTACTCGAGTCTCTAGCCAATACTTGGCTAGAGACTCGATGTTCGAAAACTGGACGAAATGTCGTTAACGTCTGACATTAGTAACTGGCTGTAAATTCTAAGTTAGCGATCCAGAAGATGTGAACTAATACACTGATCACTTTATGTGTGTTTTGGAATTTTGGTGAGGTGATAAGACCAAAACTCGCATTTCAAATTGTGATGTGGAAAAATGGCGGACATATGATTTCAAATTTTATGATTACGACATGACCAGTTGTTCATGCACGAATATATCTTTACTGGAAGGCCACAGTACAGTGGCCTTAGAAGAAGGTAATTTAGGCCCAGCCTACAATTTAAAGCTGTCCTCTCAGAAATTTCAAGATTTTGCAAATAAGAGTGTGGATTTTGCGATTTAAAAACTTAGGATCTTGATTTAAAACTAGATCTCACGCCCGGTGATTGGAAGAAATGAATGGAGCGGGGGGAGGGGGGTAATAGCAATAACATTGACCATGGTCGTGACAGGCCTTGCAACCATTGTCACGGTCATATAAGGCTTTAACATTACCACAGTCATGACAGGCCATGCAATATAAAAGCATTGTCATGGTTATATCAGGCTATCACGATAACACTACCATGATCATGGCAGGATCCTTGCGAAACTTAAAAACACTTAATAACATGGTGACGGTTGTGCCAGGCATAAGTCTTGCAACAGATAGGGTCTCCTTGCATGTTGGTGACGTTACGCCTTTTTCTATTTCATATCGTAGAAGACTATGGGTTCAAAAAAATTCCTAGAAGACCTAACATATTTTACTGTGCCGGGTGCCTATTCATTTAGCAATTCAATTGTAAACTTTCTCCTAAAAAATCTCCCAGATTTGTTGAATCTTCTAGCAGAAATCGCCGCATCGCCTCTGTTCATTTCTACCGATCACTAGACATGAACATTTTAAGTGAAAATCAACCCTGAAAAATCAACTTCAATCCAGTAGTTGAATATGTCTTGCTACATAGACTTTCTTATTGCTTTATAGAGTATAGGCTTGGCAATGCCGTCAACATTGGATGACTATGAGACATTGTTTTGCATTGGTACAGGATCTTATGGCAAATGTAAGAAGATCAGAAGAAAACGCGATGGCAAGGTATGAACTAGATCTATAAATAATTTTTACCCTATTTTCTATTATTACCAGGTCGTTCAATAAGGTCATGGAAAAATGCTCTCATTTCAAATATTTTTGAGTTTTTCTCATGAAATTTTCACACAATGTGTAAAAAACATTTTATTATTGATTCATTAAATATCAGCATCTCTTATTTGGTTGGTCAAAAAGAATGGTTACTTTGGTAATTTCTAATTTGACTTTTGGGTAGGCGGGGCACTTTTTATGTCACATTATTCAATAGAAAAATTACAGAATAGTAGGCAAGTTTATGAGTGTATCACATGCATTTTCTCTTCTCTGCTTTCTATGTGAAGATGATATCACTTAATATAATATTCACAACTATTGTTCCATAAGGTGTTAGTTGTTGAATGCACGCTGGTGATCAACCTATTGTTATCCCAACGAACGAAGTTCGTTAGGGATATAGTGAAGCCCTCCGTCCGTCCGTCTGTCCGTCAGTCCGTCAGTCAGTCAGTCCGTCCGTCTGTCCGGAAGATAACTCAAATACTAGTCGACAGATTTTCTTCATATTTAGTGGAAAGATGTATATGGGTAAATAGTTTTACGCAAAAAAAAATTTTTTCAAGATGGCCGCCGCTTTAAAAATGACGGGACTTTTTCGCAAAAATCATAAATTTTTCATTCTAAACCAAAGTAATTAATATTATTGTTTGAAATTTTGGTAGTGTATTCACAACATTTATCTATTTCACATATATTCCGTGTTTTTCATCCTGACCCCCAGGGGCCATGTATGGGGGGACAGGAAAACAGAAATTTTCGCTAATTTTTAGATCTTTCTGAAGTATAGCTTTATTATACTCAAATGAAAGGCAATTAAGAGTAGATTGCAAATATTGTATCTTTTTTCTGATTGGAGCCTCGTAAAATTCAAAATGGCCGTCTAATGTACGATTTCGCAATAATTTTTCGATCCCTTCAAAGTATGGCTATATTATACTCAATATTTTGGAGTAGATCACAATTATGGTATTATTTTTCAGATTTGTACCTCAGAAAATTCAAAATGGCTGCTTTGCAGGAATTCGCAATTCTAAAATCTAATTTTTTCATTTTCAACCAAAGTAATGAGTATAATTGATTGTAATTCGGTAATTGATATTTTGTTCGTTGGGATTTGCTACTCCGCGGAGTTGCCGTTATCTAGTTGAAACTGTGCTCTGAAGCCATCAGGAAAACTTGTTTGAAGGGCAATCTAGACTGCAGTCAAAAGTTGTTGCACTTTTCATATTGTGCACCTCTTAGTTAATCCTTCATCCTGTTGAAAACAGCAAAATCAAGGGTTGTCTCTTCTGGAAAGTATGGAGCTTGGGGTAGCCTTGCCATCTATTTTGTCAGTTTGTGATGGTTTCCTGCACTATTCACAATATTAGCAGTGTGACTGGGTGCATTATCAATTTATCATGGTGGAAAAATTTAGTTTGGCTAAATGGGTTAAGTGTTATCAACTTGCCATATAGCATAATACACTTTGTTGATTTTCTCGCTCTCTAGTACAGCATTGACTAGCAGGATCCGGAAATGTCTATGAAAACTATGAACATCAATTTTCTCTCATTACATTTGTAATTTAAATAAGAACAATAAAACCTAGGGATCCTTCATTTGCACATATTGATAGATTTCTGTAATTGTAAATTGTGTGACGTAAAAAGTGCCTGCCTACCCAGAAGTCAAGTTACCGTAGTAACCATTATTTTTGACCAATCAGATTAGAGATGCTGATATTTTAAGAATCAATTGGAAACTATTTTTTACACATTTTGTAAAAATTTCATGAGAAAATATCAAAAATCCTTGAAATGAGAGCATTTTTCCGCGAACTTATTGAACGACCTGGTACTATTATACTCTATTACCAAAGATTTTCAAGAGAACATTTCATCCTATATGGATATTTGGGCTCCTTGTCAAGATTAGATCATGATGTTTCACATGTTGGATTTTTTGTTACAAAACCAACTGACTTCATTTCTCTGCCCCTGACCAGAAAATTCTGAAATATGAAGTATAGATTTTTGATTGTTCTAAATTGAAAGAGTATCTTAAAATTCTCTCCCTATATATCTCAAGGTATTGGTTTGGAAAGAAATAGATTATGGCGGTATGTCTGAGACGGAGAAACAGATGTTGGTCTCAGAGGTGAACCTGCTGAGAGAACTGAAGCATAAACACATCGTGCAGTACTATGATCGTATCATAGATCGCAGCAAGGCTTCCTTGTATATCGTCATGGAGTTCTGCGAAGGAGGAGATCTCAGTTCTTTAATCACTAAATGTAGCAGAGATAGGTAATTGTAAAAAAGTGCATGTTTTTTCACAAATAAATTGTTTAGGAGTTAAAGAATCATATTTTTATTTTTATGGATCATTTATTTCGTTTATAGAGCTAAGATAATCAGATAAATCAATACACTTTAAATCAATGGTCATCAATCGTGAAAGTGAAAGTCTTGTACCAGTATTTGGAAGCACAAATATCCTACTGCCTGTATTTTAATTAAATATGTTTCATTTTTCATTTGTTCAAAATATCCTGATTGTGCCGGTCACCCTCAACACTGTCTAAATAAAGAGAATGGAGGGTATAATAGGGGTTCGGTGTAAAACTAAGAATGCTTTGAAACATTTTGAATTCATTTATTCCAGAACATACCTGGAAGAAGAGTTTATTTGGAAGATCCTTACGCAGATACTTCAGGCTCTTGAAGTCTGCCATCAGAGGAAAAATGGCAAATCTGTCCTACATCGAGACTTAAAGCCTGCTAATGTCTTCCTTGATGCCTCAAAGAACGTTAAGCTTGGAGATTTTGGGTTGGCGCGTGTGCTGCATCATGACACTAGCTTTGCCAAGACATTTGTGGGAACACCTTATTATATGTCACCTGTAAGTGTCAACTGTATATTTAAGTGTCATCTGTCATTTGCATGTTATGGCTTGTTCCACAATATTGATTAATTAATAGTGTCAGGTTTTTGAAAATATGTCACCATTAAGTGTGACATACTTTTCAAAGTTCTTTTGTGACTGGTGGTGGGATCTGTAACAATTTTTTCACAAAGATTTGTTCACATTCCTGGCTTGTTCTGTTATTTAGCTTGCTTTAGTAAACACTAACATACATCATTCCATTGCACATAAACATATCATGTACATGTACATTCTCTATTTTATTCAGGAACAAGTGAACAATAAGTCCTACAATGAGAAGTCAGATGTCTGGTCTCTTGGCTGTCTGCTTTACGAACTATGTGCACTGAACCCACCTTTTACAGCCAGAAATCAACGAGAATTGAATGCAAAAATCCGTGTGGGGAGATTCACTCGTATCCCTTACAGATACTCTTCTGAGTTGAATGACATCGTTTCTAGCATGATTGTAGTTGATGTAAGTAAATTAGAAGTCTCGTACCACAGGGTTCGAAACTGACAGCTGCGTGACTGCCAAAGAAAATCACTTTTCACTCTTGGCATTGAACTTGGGAAAACAGTTGCCTCACTATGGTTTCAGTCTGTGGTTGATCAGTTAATAGCTATAGCCAGAACTTATTGACTAGCCTCGTTCAATGTTTTTTCTGAACTTTTTGAATGCACAAACATCTAGTGCAAAATGTATAAAATAAAAAACTATAATGATTTACTGCGACCAACCTCCTGTTTCACTGAAATAGTTTCCATCACAACCTATATTTACCCCATTAGGACCTTGAATAGGATACTAAAAACTGTTTTTTAGGAAAACAAACGTCCCTCTATAAGAACTCTACTGGACAACCCACTTGTGATAAAGAGGTGTGACCCAGCTCAAGTTGACAAAGAGAGAGAACGCGAGAGAAAACCATCACCAGGAGTGGTAGAGACCAAGAAACCAGAAGTCCCTAAAAAAACATATGAAGACCTTTTGAGCAAGGAACGTGAGTTGGAAAGGAGAGAAAGAGCAGTTACAAGGAAGGAGAATGAACTTGAAAGTAAGGATTATTATCCCAGTAAACTCATAGATATCATGCCTAAAATAGATCTACTATTGTCATGTTCTGCTTGTCCCAAGTGTCAACAATCTAAGATTTTTAAAAATGAAGGAAACGTCACTGTTCCACAGTTGGATGACTCTTACTGCAGTTAGCTTCATTCAAGATGGTTGCCAAGATTCTTCGATTTCAGCTAAACTAAGTTGAATCTTGATTCCAAAAGTTTCGCCATGGAAATTAATAAAACTATGATTGTATTAAACCACAAATGAATGCCCAAACACCCGCAATATTAGAGAATTTTAAAGAAAACAGCTTCACTGAGAATGACTAACTAAGTTGATGATCTACGTCATCATCAACAGAGTCATTCTTAGTGAAACCATTTTCTTTAAAATTCTCCAATATCGCGGTTGTTTGAGTATTTATTTGTGGTTATTTACCAGGTCCATCGTAGCTTTATTAATATACATGGCGAAACATTTGGAATCCAGATTCAACTTAGTTTATCTGAAATCGGAGGTTTATCTAAATTGAATGAAGCTAACTGCAGTTAGAGCCATCCAGCTGTGGAACAGTGAACATAGAGTCAAAAGATTAATTACACCATGGATTCTTTTAAGAGACGTCCTAAATTTGAAGCCCTCTAATCATTTTCAAATTATTTTATCCTCCTTCTTTTCCAGGTCGCGAGAAGAGAGTTGCTCTGAAAGAACAAATGGCGGAGGATAAACTTGCTCGGTAATTAAAGATTTGTGTAATGCTGAGGGTTGTTGCATTGTCATGTTAGTCCTAATGAGAAACCTTTCTAATGAAGTTTAAGTGATACATTGTTTCCATGGAATGTTTTCCAGCAAATCAATTGTTACCAAGCACCAAACACCTTCATGATACCAAAATGCTCCATAGTTAATTAAACGAACCTCCTGATATGTCACAATGAAAAAATAAGAAAACCTTAAAATGTTGCAAGATGACAGAAAATTACAAAAACCTAATATGTGCACATAAAGTGACAAAATTCTAAAAGTTTGCACATAGAAAAATGACAAAATCCTCCACACAACATAATCTTGTGGAGAGCACTGTTTACTCCATAATACTACTGGTTTCCCAGGGAAATATGTGCTCCCTCGGTCAATATCAGATTACCCTTCTGTCAATATCATAATTGTCCCTCGGAATAAAACCCATATTCAATTCCTCCCAGTAAATAACCTATATGTATCAATATTAACAAGTATGAATATATAAAAACTGCTGTTTTAATAACATTTCTCAGATTTGCTATTTTTATTACAGAGTGAATGCTAAAGCAGACAAGATGAGATCAGACCAAGACCTCAGGCTGAGAATGCGTAATGTCAACATCAAGATCGAGAACACTGATTCAGGTACTTTACTTAAATTCCAAAGCCCTCTAAGTAGTGAACGAATTCAGTCCAACTGCACCCCTCCTGCTTCTCAGCCACCTGTAAACAGAGACTTTAAACCTTCACCGAATGTTGCTACTCCGCCAACTCTACAGATCCCCAGAAACTTGACGCGGGCTGGTCACATACCTCAATATAGATAGCCCTCTTGTTTATGAAACTTTAAAGATAATGTCATATGCTTATATTGTTTGCATGTTTAGCCAAACTTGCATTAGCATCAAAGAGATCTGTTTTATTTATTTTGCGACAATATTTGTCAGAAACTGGTGCTCATTTGGCAGAACGTGGCTATGCTATTTAAACTATAACTACCTCAAAATTTTAATCCCTTGTGTTAATAGAAAACAAGGGAATGAAAGGATGGTTTACATTTTTGTGCAATGATGAATTATAATCATGATGAAAATGAAATTATTTATATGTATCAATAATGAAATTCTAAATATATTTTTGATATGATCAAAAAAAATTTAAATTTATATAAATGTTAATTAATGATAATATTAGCTCTAGGACCTGTCTCTCAATTCATGAAATGAGGTTTTCTTATGAAAAGAGGTTTTCACACAATTTTTCATGTGTTACAATATAAATATGTTGAATGTAAAATTGGTTGTCAGAAATTCTTCACAATACATCTATAACAGCTTGAAACCAAAATTCTGATGGTGGATTAGAAAGCAGATCCTTGGCAAATAACTTTTGTTTGTATAACACTCATAACATCAGTTTATAATGCTTATTATGCTTAAAGTTAAAAATGGCTGTTACATCCAAAAAGATCAGATTAACTGTTTATCAGTGCTTTTATCTTTGCTTTTTCACTCTGCGCCCCTCCCCCTCCTGTTGAGGATGGGCCTGTATACAGTTACTATATCTTGCATCAGCATTAACAGTTGTACCTCTATAAAGGAGAGGGGACATACTGTAACTTGGGTTAATTTGATACCTTAATTTGGCAGAATTAGGTTAGGTTCAATTTGGCTATTGTTTTTCCCCACCAATTTACAAAAATTGCCTCTGAAAGATACACCACATGTAACGTGGTAAAAAAAAGAATAAACTCTCAGGAATTTATCATGAAATAGGTGACTTTTTCAAATCACAAAAATAAAACAGGTGCCAAATTACCCCAAGCTACAATAGTGACTTGACATGACTTCTGTGTTCTGTAGTGTAATAGTTTGCTGTAGATTGTAGCGTAGTGTAATTTAGTGTCAGAGTGTACATATCTGAACACTATCTTAATTTGCCTAGCATGATTTAAGTCTTGTCTTTGAAAAGTATGAGTGATTAAAATGATTTCTTTGTATTACAGGGGATTCACTAGAATTTCTCACAACAGGCATAATAAATGAAAACAACAGGCAAAATTAATGGAAATCATAAATTTAACAAGGAAAAGTTGTGAAGAGTCCCTAAAACAACAAGGGATTTTGTGAAAATAACCGGCGAAAATCGCCTGTTTTCGCCTGTTGCTAATGAAACCCCTGTATAACATGATTATTTGTAATTACATTAATATATTTATTACATGTACTGGTATTATGTAATGTTTTAACATCTGCAATAACTGTATTATCAGTGTACTACATGTGTAACACATGCACTTGTACATGTGTGTACTGTGCAATACATATGTTATGGGTGTAATATCTGTACTAATCATGTGAGAAATACCTGTATGACTTGTGTAATACCTACATTGTGTGTAAATGTGTTGACTTTTATTTTTGTATATATTGTGAATGTGTACATTAGCTTGCTTGCTATTTTCTTATTTTTGCTAATATATAATAAATAACATGCTTTTGTATTTTAATTTGCTGTAGTTTAGTTCTTTAGTTTAGTACACCCCACATGAAACAGTGGAAAAAACATGATGATTGGAGAGAAGGATTAAGAGTACAGTTATAACTTAAATCATCATATTTTAATCATCATATTTGTCACTGTGTGTCTTGTTCAGACCTGGAGGACTCTGGGAATTTCAGAAGTGGCCAGGGAATTTTAAAGTTCCGAGAAAAGTCTGGGAGTTTTATATAGTATTAGTGAAATTTAGACAGGTTAAAATCTGAAAATATGCATGAGGTGAAAAAACTAAACTTTGTTGTATTTCTTTTGTCAACATTGTGAATTTGGGAAATCTGAGAAATCACTCATGAGGAAGGACCCTACCATAATTTATTGTAGGACTCCTGTTTTATGAAGCATTGTTGGATTAGGTTTATGGCCAGGATTAGTTTTCACCATTCTAATACTGGTACAGCTTCTGTCCTCAATAGGGTTGGGTAATATGTGATATAATGCTAGGGTTGATGACCTTGATATAATATGAATATGATGAGTTTTTACCATTCTAGTTTTCATTGAATCCCTCTTTGAATCTTCATTAGAATGAAATTGGAACATCTTAAAGTTTGTTGCTTTTCTGTTTTCCTGGCTTTGATTTGTGAAACATCATATAAGTCCTCTTGTCGCATGTGATGTATTACGATTTCCAGTGCATCCATCTAGTTCCAGGGCCAAATTGACATAATTTTTATTTAGCTACGTTCACACCAACGGCAAATGCCACGCTTTAAATCGGCGAGCAAAGCGCCATCATTTTTGTTCATACCAACGGCGCTTTGATGGCGCTTTAAAGCGGCTTGTAAAGCAGCACCAAAGCGTAACAAAGCTTGATTAAAGCGTCGGGGTCGTAATAGGTCGTAGAAAAGCTCGGAGTAAAGCGGGATATTCGGCAAGAGCGCCAAAAGTTTGTGTCAAGCTTTGCTGAGCTTTGTTACAGTTTGTTAAGCTTTGATACGCTCTCGGCGCTTTTATCAATTCGTAACTGAGCGGCCAAAATTTTTAAACAGTTTAAAATATTTTGGCGCTCTTACCGATTATCCCGCTTTACTCCGAGCCTTTCTACGACCCCAACGCTTTAATCAAGCTTTGTTACGCTTTGGTGCCGCTTTAAAGCGCCATCAAAGCGCCGTTGTGCGAACGTAGCTTGAACAGTTTTAATTTTTTGAGCTCTTGCCGAATATCCCGCTTAACTCCGAGCTTTTCTACTACCTACGAGGGGTGATCCAAAAGTCTTGGACACCCTGCTCTAATTTTGTTGGTTTTTGATAAAATTACTTTAAACTTTCCAATAATAAAGACCAACAACCTAACTACTTTGTGTATTAATTTCATGGTGAAATTATATATTTTATGTAGTTTTCTCAATTAATTAATATAGTGACCCTGCCACCCAGAACGGTATTCGCACATGGCAACTTTCAGCCTTAAATGTTGCTGCTATTTGACTTGTTTTGCAAGTCTTGACCACTATCTTTCCTTAAATTTTGAATGTTAAACCATGTTAGTTTACTTCCTTTGTTACTAGGCAACCAATTAATTGTGTTTTAATCATATTGTCACATATGACAATGGCCGTATATGTCAAGTTCTAAGAAAATGACATCAGACAATCAGCCCTCATTCTGGTATCATTTTTGCTCCAAGATGGCTGCTGAAATGCAAAACATGAAAGAAATGAAAGTGGAACAAAGAATAATACTATATATTTTCACTATTATTGACATTGAGCAGCTACCATATGCACAATACAGTCTAGATATGGCTCTGTGTGATTTTCTTCCTTTTCTCCAAGTTGAAAGGAGGATTGAAAGGAAATGTTTTTTGCTCATTGGATGAGGTTTAGAGTGGCACTCTAGCAGCATTTGTATCACATAAGCAATGACGGTTTCATAAGTGTCTTTCATTCATTGGTAAAGCGGTATGAAAAATGTGTTCAAATTCGTGGAAAATATGTTGAAAAGTAGGTCTTAATATGTGAAGATGATGATGGCAGATGACACTCAGACTGAAAATTGGAAATTCTCTCATATCATGACTGGTGTTAGGTTGTACATCTGCACCTAAAGTATTTGCCATATTATAACAGTTGTGACGCGATTTGCTATATTTAAATACCGTTCCGGGTGGCAGGGACCTGGTATCAAAAACTATTTAGAAAAGTACCTAAAATATACTATTTTCTTTTGAAACTTATACACAAAGTTGTTAAGATGTTGATCTTTATTATCTGAAAGTTTCGTGCATTTATATAAGAAATTAGCAAAGTTGGAGCAAGGCGTCCAAGACTTTTGGATCACCCCTCGTATTACGACCCCGACGCTTTAATCAAGCTTTGTTACGCTTTGGTGCCGCTTTAAAGCGCCATCAAAGCGCCATTGGTGTGAACGTAGCTTTAATGAAAAAGAAGTGAATAAACATATTCTGCCTCATGTTAGTTCTGGTCTGGTCTGGGATTAAAAATGTCAGCTCTCAACAATGGTTGACATCTATCTTATTTATGTGAAATAAAATCTGCTTGCAGGTCCTGGGGATAACTACAACTTGTATGATGATTTAGAATCTGTTGAGTACAAAATCCTCCCAGCTCCATGTCTTGTTAAAGAACGAAAGCCAGACAGTCCAAAGAAACATGTCAGCTTTGGCAAAGAACGTCATATAGATCTCTATGGGAAAGATAATGAACTCCTGAATAGCTTACTCGATGAAAATCCAATGGACAAATATGGCTTGAAGAATGATCCTTTATTTCATAAACCTACATCAGAATATGAATCAGGATTTAAACTAAGAGAGCAAAGGTTGAAGACTGCTCGATTGAAAGATCGTTTAGAACGAGCACGTGTAAGGTCAGCAAATCTACGGACAGCTGAGTTTGAATCAAAACTGAAATCCAGGCAACTATTGGGAATGCGATAAAGCAGATATTTTAGTAAATAAACTAGTTATTAATAATGATATTTAAATTATAACAATCCACATTGAATTTTGAAATAATGGAGTGAAGAATGGAAATCAATGTGAGTTCACTGAAGGCAGTGCAGACCCGATGAAGTTCCTCCATGAGGAATGAGTTGAGGTGTCATAACAAGTTTCACACTAGTGTATTCATCACATAATCAATTTTATTCACTACTTGATCGCCAATCCCGCTGGTCTACAGCAGGATGATACTAACTGGAGTTAGCATCGTTCAAAATGGTGGTCAAAATTTGGTCCATTCAAATAAGCATACAATTCGATTTAACCAAGTAAAATCTTGATCAGGTACTAACTCCAGTCCTTTTTTTTGAAAAGTGACACAGAGGGCTAAAAAAATATTTTCCAAATGCAAATGTTCTTGAGTTTTAAACACAACACATTTTTACTACCCACGTACTTAACAAAATTGATTATGTGTAGAATTCAGTACAAATGAAACTGCAGAAATCAGCATTTTGATTCTTTGTATATTGGTCTCAAATGGATGAAATCATGAATCAGAAAGCTAGCTCCTACATATGTGTAAGGGACTGGGGTCATTAACAGAAACTTAGTAAAATTACGAATTCGTAAACCAAGTGTAACCATGGATATGATGATGTCACAGTTAGAGAACAATGGACTTTACGAATTCTTAACTTCACAAAATTTATGTTAATGGCCCCCTGGAGGGTGAAATTGAATTGTGGATGAAATTGCAACATGATTTTTTTTATACTTGGTTAGAAGATCCCAATACTAAAACTTCAGTATGAGATGTATATAGCTGTAGATGTAGTGTGTGATGCTGTTATGTGTGACATGTGTTTGTGTGAGGTGTGTTATGCCTGTGGGATAACTTCATGACATTGTGATAACCTTAGGTGGTTGATTACCTAGAAATTATACAAAATAACAGATTTCATGCCTGTTTCCATGGCCACAATGAAAACCTTAACACATACGATAGTATTGTAGTTGTATATGTATGAATAAATCAGTTAGTGCAGTAAACTAGTCTAAATAATGATATTTGACAACATTCCACGAAAGCAATGTGTATTTTTGTTGTTATTCAGTTGAGTTTTCTTTGTTCCTCTTACACTGACATGACACACAGCCTTTGAAGTAATGGCAAAACCTTTCTTAGGCAACACTTTTCAGAGCCTTCATTAAATCATTTTCACTCATATGGTGACAAATAGCTCAAATCAAACTTACTGTGAACTCCCATGGTGTTTTAGCTCATTAAGTTGCCAGGTTTTATGCGGCTGCATGCTAATTTGAGCTTCTGTTATAGCATATTTAAGGAATAAAGACCGAGATTTTATGATTTATGGCATAACATATGACCAAAAAATTTATTCTGTTCATTGTTAAAAGACCGAAATCGCGTAGCGATTGAGGTCTTTGGCAATGGCCAGAATAAAATTTGAGGTCATATATTTGACATAAATCACAAAATCGAGGTCTTTGTTACGATTCTAATATGATAAATAGACAAGAAACATAACTATTTGCAATCATAAATTTTAGTGGTCATACATACTCCTATATAGACCAGTTTATCAATTGTTCTAGCTATTGTGACTTCACGTGTCATATTAGAATAGCCTATAAGCTATAGACCCAGTGGAAGTGATGAGTGTCAACTGATATTTATTGAAGCTGTTTTTGGTCAGTCTTTGTCAGACTAGAAAAATTATATGGATCTCAAGCGTTTTTGTCACTAACTGACTGGGAGACTTCTGTTCAGGAATTTTTAAATGATTTGTTATGACTTGGACATTTAACAAGTATAGTTCTAAGATTTTTTATGGTATCATTTATTTTTCACACAAAGTATTGATATTTTTTTAATATACTAGCCTAACAAACATATTGTTTAAATTTTGTTAAGACATTGTAAAACATTGTAATTACATGAATTATTTACTTTTAAAATAAATATTCAATTATTTTATTGTAAACTTTCACTTTTTGTGTGCCGTAAAGTTGAACAAGAAAGCATCAATATTATCCAGAATCCAACAATGTCTGCAAAAATCCATGTCCTAATATACTATGTACAATTTCCTAAGTGTCCAAGATCATGATGTCAAAAGAGATCACATGACTTGTATCAGCAAATCACCATAATCTCTCGCCTGGCTTCAGGTCTTTTCCGCCGAAAAGTGCGCTCTTGTTGTGAAAGGTTCTACATCCTTCATCAAGTTGGTTGCCATACCACTTGCCGACTGCGAAGCCAATGAATGGCAGGGACAAGAAGAAGAGTCTCACAGGGAGAGGTCTACCAACCCCATACGTAGGAGTTCCACCAGGCATCTGAAATCATAAACAAACATGTGGAAGTGGAATACCTCTCAAGTGTTCCATTTTGAGATGTTCCACTTATAGAGGTTCATTTACATTAAGTCAGTTGTCATGAAACTCTTGAAAGTGTTCCACTAACAGAGTTGATGCGTATTCCACTTTAAATGTTTTACAAGTAATAAGCATGTACATGCAAGAACCAGACAAGAACCATTGGTCATGCCTGATATTAGTTTTACAATCATATGACAATGTTAAAGGGAGATTCAATCTATTTGTGAATTTTGCTGACGAAAACATCTTCCAGTAAAATCCCAACATACCCCTATATGGTCTTAAAATGTTAATATCTTCATTAATCATGGACCAATTCTAATAAAATATGGCTCAAAACATTAAATATTAGATTTCCTTTTGATTTTTGTAAGATATTTATATGAAGGGCTTCTCAGATCTTTGGTCACAGGGGGTAACTTTGCCCCCCTGTAACTATTTGTGTAGGAAACATGCCCCTTAACTGTTGAATGTAAAAACTGCTTCAAAATGGTCAAAGAAAGTGTGAAATGTGTTTTCTGTCCAAATAGTGTCCCATTTGTCATATGGTATGTTGTATCTCTCACTGTAAGCTTTTTTAAGATCAGCCAATGTGTTTCAAAAATTTCCTTGAATCACATTGATAAAATTTTGCACAATATATAATTTTAGGCATGTTTGTTTAAGTCTTGCAATTTCTTCAAAATTCAAAACTAAGAATAAGTTATGGCATCAACAAAAATGTTAGATCTTTCTCTACAAGATGTGATAATATGGGCCAATTCATGCATGCATTAAGGAAAATACAGTCTGTTGCAGGGATTCACATTTTTTGGACCACCTTGTATTATTTTGGGATTATACTTTTGATTTACATTGGACGAAAAATGCCACAGCTGGTGAATATGTCCCACAGAAAAAGCCTTTTTACTGATGTCAGAGTGCTTGGCTCATGAATATGTCTACTTACTTTTTGGTCATGTGTATGGTATAGACCATCAATAGAGTGGGTAATATGACACTGATAAAATAATTTATTTTATTTTCTGTCAGGGCTTGCATTAACGGCGTCCCATACATGTTAAGGACTCAAAAATAATTTGGAGGACGCAAAAATTGAAAATATTTCCGTTTTTTGGACGCAAATTTTTTTTAGGTCAATACTACAATGTGTTTACAACGATACCTAACAAAAACATGACCATGACACGCCACAGTTTTTCCTATTCAGAAACAAATATTAGGTTATTCATGAAATAAAATGTATTCATTGTCGAATGAACGAACATGCATTTATTCAGTGAAAATATGACAAGTAAGGTTAGAACATACATTCCCGAATGGGAAACAGAGTTTGATTGGTTACAGCCAGTTAGGAAAGAAAACTCCCAATATTATTATCGGAATGAAGTGTGTCATTTGTACGCGATGTTCCAACAATAACAATATTGTAAGAGTGAGCATGGCTTTTATTAGTTTGTCCCCGTAAACATTGTATATGTTATCATCATTGTATACGTAAGTTAATAAAAGTAACATTGGAAAGATGTTTTACTGACCTATTGTTGTGTTGAAGCAAAGACAATCATGCGACAAAATTAACTTCAAGGTGTTTTGGTAAAAAATGCTTTTAAAATAAAGTTATACCTCAAAATAGGCTAGAAATAGGGGACACACTTTTTTTTCAAAGGACACACTTTTTAAAAAAAATTGTGTCCTTGGGACTCACAAATTTTCTAACCTAATGCAAGCGCTGTCTGTGAATACAATTTCATAATACTGCAGTATGATATTCTACTAGCAAAGCCGCTACATGGTATACGAGGGTTGTCCCAGAAGTAATGCACTATATGCTCTAACCTTATCGTATTACTCGACTCGTGAAAGATAGGTACGCAGGTATTCAACTCAAAAGAAAGAATAAACTTACTTTAACTTAAATAGTAGTTGCTATGTCTTGAGTTTCTTGCTTTGAAGCTTCTGCAAGTGACTTTTTCCACTTCTGTGTCCTTGAGTAGTCCTTATAGATGCAGTATCCCAGAACGCTCGGGAAAAGGATGGAGACAAGGTTTCTCTTTAGTAACCGTAAATAAGGCGCTACTTTCTGCGCTTGGGTAGCATCCATAAGCTGAAAAATAAAATACGAAATTTATATCTCTAATCGATCGTATGAAAAAAGGGAAATTTGTGAAAAAAGAAAGCCTTTTGAAAAACTGGTCCTGAAATAACTAGACAACAGCAACGCCAAAGCGTAACAAATCCCATCGAACAGCCATGGCTGGCATATTTACATATAAAGTATAGAGCAAAAATGGCAGCCTTTTTTCAAAATGGCCACCTTCTACCAAAAGTGTCATTAGACAGTGTGCCATGCTTATAGTATTCACATACCAAATATGAACAAAATCGCTCCACTACTTTTTGAGTTGTAGTAAATTGATGTTAAAATGGTGGACATTTTTCAAAATGGCCACCTTCTACCAAAAGTGTCATTAGTCAGTGTGCCATGCTTATAGTATTCACATACCAAACATGAACAAAATCGCTCCACTACTTTTTTAGTTATAGTAAAATACGTTAAAATGGCCCCTTCTACCAAAAGTGTCATTAAACAGTGTGCCATGCTTATAGTATTCACATACCAAATATGACCAAAATAGCTACTACTTTTCGAGTTAGAGCAAAAATCTTAAAATAATGAGTAAAGGCCGCCATTTTTCAAGATGGCTGCCATGTGCTTCTTTAATATCTACATTTCTAGCTTTATAAATGTCCTACATAATTTTTTTACATTTAAAACATATTGCTATTACAGTTTTACATATTGCACCTAAATTACTGTAAAATCGTCACTAAAATGGCCACCATTTTAAAATGAGTGGCCATTTTGAAAATCGGCTTTCAAGCAGAACAAAATAGGGCCAACGGTATTTGAGTTATTGCCCGGACGGACGGATGGAGGCATTCCATATATCCCTGTGATGAACAAGTGATGTATATATAAGTTAGCATTTTGTATAACATAGATGGCGAACAATTATTTGAGAAATAATTCAAAAGAGCCAATAATTACCTATGAATAGAAAAGAGGCAGTTCACATTTTGAGAAGCCAGGGAAAAGACTGAAAAACTCACTGAGCTATAATGTAATACTAGAAGGAGTCGTGCGTAGATCTTCAAAGGGGCCCCTCATACAGAGTAATCGGCATCGACTAAGATACGGTAGCGAGAACAAGTTTACAATCCCTCTGAACTTCATTCCATGAGATAATTAAGTATGGGACAGGTATCGCATTTTTCAGAATTTGATAAATAATTTAAATCAAATTAAAATAGAATAATCATCACACAATAATATTGTGCGCAATCTCACTCTTATAAAATCAAAAAAATCAAATATGGGACCTTTAGATGATTTTGATTTTAGTTCATTTAGAAGCTGAATTAACCAAAAACATTGAATGGACTAGGTATGGTGTAGCAAATGACTGACAGAAAACAGTCATAATGATCATGAATATTTCCTTATAAATAGATAGGCTAAAACATTTCTCATCAAAATAATAATCTTTTTATAAAGCTGGGAAGTCAAAACATTACATTTGATATCATTCATAGAAAAAGAAGAAAAAATGAATTGAAAAGCGATCTATTTTCCTTTTTATGATCGCCATTTTTGTTTCTGACAATTTTCTAAAAGGACGATTCTCGGTTTGGAGAACAGTCTCCTGGGCTAATAATTTTTTCATGAAAAATATAGAAATATTACCCAAATTAAACTATGAATATTCAAAAGAGGACATTTAAATTTACAAGATGTAAAAATAACAAATTGGTCTGAAGCAGGGATAACGCTCAATTAGACCGATTTAATAAAATACAAGTCTCGATTTGGTGAAAGAAGTTCATCAGTGTACTGCGCTAATATTTTTGGGGGAAAAATCTAGAAATATTACCCAAATTATAAAAGAAGACATTCCAATCTATATTATGTAAAAAAATCAAATTTGTCTGAAGCAGGGATAATGCTAATTTAGATTGATGAACTTCGTTCTCCAAACCGAGAATCGTCCTTTCAAAGATTGTATCATTTAGAGCAATATATTGGGCACATTTTCTGAAAAATTCAAAAGAATCTGTTCAGTGACCTTTCCTTAGGGCCTACTTTAAGCTATTTTTCAGTCACATTTTCAGAGGGCTGTCAAAAGTTATTTCATCATGTTTAGGGTCATTCTGACCATGTACATTGTGATCCTGGTCATGTAAATGATATGTTGAGCTAGTTAAACTGACTGGAGGTCGAACAGATCTCTGTTATCTTGGTTCAAAAAATGTTTGAAATCCAACATGGTTTTGTCATTTCCTTTTAAGTATCATAAGACCTTAAACTGACTGGAGTAAAAACAGAACTCTGATATCTTGGTTCAAAAAATGCTTGAAATCCAGCATGGTTTTGCCACTTCCTGTTTTGTCATTTCAAATTTCGGCTCAAACTCGTGACAAATGAAGGCTTTGTACAAAAAAATCCTACCTCGCACCCACCTACCCATGTACGTGGGACATGATACAGTTTTTGAAAGGTTCAATTTTAAAGAAGTTATTAAATCTTAGTTTATGATGAATTATAGATGAATTAATGCACCCCATGCCTTTATTTATGGATCTGTCATCTGTCTAGTCATCAAACAAAGCCGGAATTGCAGAAATGTTAATAATTTAAGCTATTTTGATTTCATGTCTGCTTTTGATTTCTTGAAATGATTTTTGTTGAACTTTGTATAAAGAACCTCATACCACGTATGTGGGTCTTGACACGGTCTTTGGAGGGTGCAATTTTTTAATGTTTTAAAGATTATTATTCATTCTCAGTTTATGCTTTGCCTTCATTCATTATGTGTATGGGATTAGTATATACACTCATCTTTTTATATCTCCAATATAGGACGACACATGATTCTTTATTCCTTAAGTAAATGGTGATATTCTTTTTATGAAGTGAGGAATTCAAAACATTACTAATAGAAATCATAGTTAAGCATATCATTTAGAAGCATTTAAAATCGAGTAACTTTTGTATATTTCAGATAGCAATGTATAATGTGCAGCCAAGCTGTGGCCTTTTGTAATTTAGGGAGTTTCAGCCATGTTAATTTTTCCGAAAATAACATGGCAGAGAAGTATCAAAATATAAGAGGACACAGATATGATAGCTAAACTAAAATAAACAAACAGCATATATACAGCCTGATCAATAAATCTGTCCAGACAAAGTGGCAGAGGCAATATCATAACTCTAAAAAAGTTAGCCACATACAGCGATCAATAGAAAAAGTTGGAACCAGAGCTATCCTGGGAGAGAAAAACAGGAAAACATTCTGTATCACAAACCAAATGTTAAGTGGCCATACAAAGCTCAATAGCCACCTAAAGAAAATCAATCCCATACACCCTTCAGACAAGTGCCACAACTGTGACAGGATAGAGACCATTGATCATTTCATACACCACTGCTCCAAATACAGCGAGATTCGAGAGAGACTATTTTATGAGGCTAATAGTATTCTTCTAGAAAGTGATCATAATCCAGAATTGGACATCAAGACTCTGTCTAAATGTAAATAAGTTACAAGCTAAGGAACTTTAGTGATTTTAAGAAAAAACAAAAATAAAAATAAAAAGAATCTACAAAAACACTAGAGACAGTCACAAGAGGAAAGCACCATTGAAAAAACAGCACCAGAGACTATTAGGTGACATGATAGCACCGTATGGACTTAACCAACCAACCAACTAAAAAACAAACTTAAATATACAAAAGTTAAGTTAAATATAAATGTTTCTATTTTTACATAAACTGTTTCAACATTTGATTCCTTATTTTTTTAATTCAAAGTAATCTATAGTCAGTCTACTGTTTTGGTTATCGAATTCTCCGACCACTTTAGATTGTGATCATACGCGCATATAATTGGGCAGTCAATGTTTTTACAAAGTTGGAGAAAATACTACGCATTGCACACCTAAATGACCTACCTCGATACATTCCTTAGTATTTTAGAATTCTTTTTATGTAGTTGAATCGCCAATTGTATGGGTTTATCGGCAGAACGAAGAGGTTTTCGTTTTTGATAGCAATATTTGCGTGTAATATTTAACTTATTCCAACCGTCAAATTCCTCCATTCAGTTCCCAGCATGCACCAGTCATAAGGGAAATCCCTGGGGTATTCCCCTTCCGACATTTTGAAAATTGCTGATATATTTCCAATGTAAAAACTAAAATCACTTCGTTCTGTCGATAAACCCATACAATATAATTATACGAGCGTACAACCACAATCTAAAGGGGTCGTAGGATGCGATAACTGTTTTGGTAGTAAGTAAAATACATACCATGAATCTAGGCTAAAGCTCGGAAGAAAAAATATCATGAATTTTTGCTGGCTTACAAGACAAAAATTTATATTTTATTGAAGCTGAAACTATCATTTTTCTTAAAAATAAATCTGATTGTAACTCCACTAGCCATATAACTGGTTATTTGGCTACATACTTACTAGAGTTATGTTTACCAGCCTTATTTCTTCAGGGAAAAATCTTACCTAAATTTCGATGACCTTGAGAAGGCAGAGTCACATTTTATTCCTGCGAATTTTTTTATTTATAAATATTCAAACTACTCATTATCTGTATTCAGTAAAAAGGAATTATTTTATCAATTACATTCAAGAATCTTCTAAATGATGAAGATTACTGTTTTCACAGTGAAAATGTATCATATTTCAATGTCAAGTAAAGTACGAAACTATCTGTATTCTTTGAAATTACAAATGAGACCAAAACATCATCATGTCAAAAAAGACTATTTTAGAAAGACAATTACTGCTAAAACTGTAAATGTAAATATAGAAATAGGAGATTGATAGATAAGCACTCGAAGAATCATAATTTTTAACTGTCATCTAAAAGTCTGTTTGATTTGATAGTTCACTTGATCAAATGGCAAAAGTTAGTGCTCCAACAAAAGTTACAATTGAAGGACAAGCTCATCTTTGTGTTTTAGATGATAAATGGTTCCATGGAATCTTACTGACAAGAGAATCTCACCAGTATGGACTAATTGGAAAGGTTGGGCCAACTCCGAAGCATGGTTTCCATCAATGCTGCATGGAAGATGGTTCCAAATTCTACCAAGTTACAGTCATAGATCACTCAGGGTCCGAATTTGATGATATAATTCTGAAAAACATTCTCCAAACTGGAGGAGAAAATTACAATTTGATATCTGATGAAATAGAATTCTACACCGACAGGTTAATCACAGGACTAAGAGCTGAAGAATGCATCCAAAAATTATTTTCGGAGAAATTCCTAAACCGCAACTGTCATATTTGTGTTGGTGAGATGAAGATTTCAACTGGAGTTAATTCTGAAGTTTCAGATGAGAATTATTCAGACGACGAGGGTGGCGCAAGTCCTGCAAGTAGTTTGCAAGATAGGTGATAATTGGAAGAAGACTCTTTTCTGCTTTTGAGCATGGTCTCCTAAAGTCTTACACTCATTCAACTCAGAGACCTGAAGACCTGTAGACTATATTGATTTTGTGTCAAGTCATATTGAAGCCACACCATATGTGGTTATCAGCAGACTGTATGTTAGTTTTCATTGACTTAGACTTAGATTTGAAAATGTAGTACATTGGGTAATGTGAAATAGCAAATAATTAGGCTATGTTAGCCTACTACCTAAAATCCGATTGCACAAATTTTACGAAAATATCCAAATCCATATTTAATGATACAAAAATTTCCTAGTTTAAGAGTCAGTAGACTGTGCATTGTTCTTGTACTTTTGTCTGTTTATGTAATTGTATGATATAGTACTTATTTACCAAAATACATGTAATTACCTTTTTCAAAATTAAAGGTTTTTATCTTCAAATATTTTGATTTATTTTCCCTTAGGCCAAACCTAATTTTTTGTATGTATAAGCACACTGAGCATACCCAAACTCATACACACCATACAACAAATTTGAGTTGAGACCATATATGGAAACAATATGGGTAATGCAATCACAACATGAACCAAAATGGGCCTTATCTTGCTCAAATTTTTTGTCTTTTGAAAGATTGACTTCATACCTAGCACTTATCTCAATTGATAGTACATTGTGCTGTAACAACATTTAAACGATTTGATACCATATATGGTAGCATGAACCATCTGACTCATGGCATGTGACCCATTTACCAACCCGCAGTACAAACCCTGGTTTGCCTTCACGAGGACAAAATAATGTCAAACAAAGAATCTATATTGCTCATACATGTCATAGGCCTACTGTAGCCACAACACCTAGCTAGTGCTACTAGTCACTGGTGGATCCAGGAGCTAGCAAGGGGGAGGGGCCCACATTTTAAGTCTGGGTAAAAATGGAATCTGAAACGGAAAAAGATTTTTGGCCCCTAAAATCAAAAATTGGGCCTAAAGATTTTTTCTGGCCCCACCCAAAGTGGCCCCATGCCCATCCCCCCCCCCTCCTTGATCCGCCAGTGCCAGTAATGGATGGCCTTAAATAAGGAAGTACAGGGTGTCCATAAAATCTAGAAGACCCTAACATCATGTAAAAATATTCTAAACAATGACCTTATAAGGAAATATATAACATCAATTTACTGTTTGCACAGAGGACCCCTTGATGACTAACATATTATTGATTGCAGTGCAGACAAGTTTATCATTTCTAGAAAGGTTGAGAACAGTTGTGTTTCTCTCTTTGACAAGATACACTCCCCTCAAAAAGTTTGGCAACCATAACTCTCTTTGGATTAAATGTAAAGCTGTTATTTGTGTAATCAAAATCAAAAAACTATGTGTTATAAGCTTGATATTATTTGCAATATGTTGAATGAAAACACAGAATGAAATCCTGTGCTTAGGGCTGATATGAAAAAGTTAGTCCACCCCAGTGGCAATATGTCTAATTCATTATTTTTCTCATTTCTTCTCCAAAATCATAATTGGTGAAAAATAGCTGACCAATCAAAGTCAAATTATATTTCAAGAAATGTTTCCCATTGAAATAACACAGGAATTTTTCTAAAATGAATTTGAAGCTTACTTTGATGTTCACAAAACCATCTAAAATTCAGTGTTCAATAAATTAAAAATTCATCAGTCATGAAAATTGGAAAATTTTGGAGTAATTTAGCGAATTTTGAAAAAACATGAATTTGCGTCTATTAGTTCCGCAAATTTCACTATTAAAGTACACCAACTACTATGTCATCTTGGTGAACGATGCACTTTAACCTCTATTACGTCATATTTTTGGATTATTTGAACAGACATGTTTTCTAGTATCCTATTGCCTAAAAATGCTTGACAAACATTTTACAACACACAGAATGCAATGGAGTCCCAGGTAAACAATTCAAATCCCTGGGCATAATTGACAATTTCCCGAAGATTTTTGCGATTTTTCTACAATTGCGAAAAGCGCGAAACTAAATCACACGCATAAAAAACCGGGGGTTCATGTACGTGTAAGGTTGCCAAACTTTTGGAGAGGGGTGTAGAGACCTGTAGAGTGTCAAAGGCTTTTTCATCTGTTTGAATGATTTTTCACTATCAAAAATGGTCGCCTGATTTGAATCACATGGTTTGTTTACTTTGAAGCATTGATTCCATTACCATATTTGTTCTTTCTACCCTAACCCGGTGTTTCCAAGTGTCTGATGATCTTGGCATTCACCCATATGGGGATAAAACATTTGATACCATATATGGTAAGAAGGACCATCTGACTCATGGCTGTGGCCTGTTTACCAACCAGCATATTCATACAACCACTAGTTGTTTTTAGTAATAATTTCAACATTTGTAGTAAAATACCGAGTTAGAAAATGTGAATCATAGATCTGCAAAACTTAACTCACCTTTGATTACCTAGCAATTAAAATATGTATTGTTAATCATCTGATCATATGTATTATTGCATGACTAAAAATATAGTTCTTCAAATATTACAAAGCTCAGTAATGATTGGTCAAAAAAGTTGCTTATGATAAAGATAGGCCAATCACAAAAGTTATTTCATATTCCTGCGGATGTATCTTCACTGAGTTGTTTGGTATAAAACTGGGCACACAAAACGAGGAAATCTCAACAATATCAACCGGTTTGAAGGATAACTACAATAACAATAAACACAAGATGGTAAGTTGTTGTTATTACACGTCTATTTTATTGTTCTACAAGTGCACAAATTGTACTAGTTGTAAACTGTCATTATGAACTCTCAAAAACTTTACTTGGCCTAAATTTTGGGCTCTGAGTCTGACTGGCTATAGTCCAACAACATTAGACCTAGCCTGGGCCTCGTTTCTTATCTGACATGTCTTATGGCCCCGGCTAGGTCTAACTTCCATGATGATTTTGCCCTTGTTGCGATCATTTAATCGTTCAGCAGGTTTCGACATGCGGAACTAATTAAACTCCGAAAACATGGTAATATTACATAAAGAATGTGATTCAAGCATGCATACATACCTTATAAATACATACACACCATCCCGTACCCCCCTTAGACCATATTGATGCATAATTACGAAAATATTGGAGACAGGTTTGGAATTTTACGAAAATATCGGTCAGCTCCGGTAACATCGAAATTGCAAATCGTATCAGGAATTAACCGTCATTGCGACACTGCATCAACGAACAGTAGGTTTGCAATTAATAACGATTTTGTGTGTATACAAGCGCTATATAAATCAATCAAAGATACCTGCTATCCTCAAAAATGGCTATTTTATCCCGAGTAATCGCGTGATAATTATCAATCTATTTGACAACAATTTCGTTTCAATAGTTTAAATTTTAACCCGGGACGAACAGACACAATGAAGGACATGCGGAAATGTCATTTTAGAGATTGGTAAGTTTAACCTCATTTTACTTGTATAAATGACCATTTAATACAATAATATTGTGTTGAATCGCTTGATGTTATGTGTTTTTATATTGTTGTCAAGTATCAGTTGCATGTTATCGCGGAAAAATGGTTTCGGTGGATCCAAAACTTGCATCAATGGAAAGAGTAGTAAAGAGGTTAAACTCAATAATGGCCCCAAGAAAATTTTTAATAATAAATAACGCCGTTATTGAGTTTAACGACGTTGAACTAGACTGGCTAGAGTTTTGAAACCGTTTTTTTTGTTGAAACATCATAAAGATTGAAGTCTCAGCTGATTTTGAGCATATCTTTCACTTTCAGTTCATATTATTTATGCTGTTGGTAATAATCTACTTTATCTGAATCATGGTGTTATTTGGATTATTGTTGTTACACAATCAAAAGCACAGCACAGAGTTTCTTATCTGACATGTCTAATAATTTAAACCTGCACATCGCTCCAAAACGCAATCTTGGGTTGTTTCGGGGGTGAATTTTATCATTTTGAGCTTATGAAAGATTATAGAATGATAAACAAATGGGGCAAATCTTGTGTATAAATACTTACGATAAATGTGTCATTTCAAAGATTATTCATTGGATTGTTTCGATTGTCGACGACGATATGATCTTTGGAAGGTTTCTAAATTAAGAACGTGACCTCACTTCCGAATTATAGCATGCAACATAAGTAGCGTGTAATTACTCTTAACCTTCATAATAACTCAGTGGCCTTGTGGCAGAATGCTCTCTCAGCACGCAGGAGGTCTGGGTTCGAATCCCGCACCTACTTTTTTTTTTATCTTATTTAACTAAATGATTGTTCTTTGATATTATGCAGATTTTATTTACATAAACTTTATATTAGAGCTTTAAAATGTAAAGACAATATATATCAACATATTGCCTTTTGGAGCGATGTGCAGGTTTAATCGTTCCATATTTTTCGACAATTTTTTTCCAGTTAATTGTTTTGAGAACAGATCAAATGTTGGTACACTTGCAAACTGGGAATCCTTCACTAATCTAATGACTAGAGCCATCATTCTAATGTATAAGACATAAATGGAGAGGTCCAAAGAAAACTAATTTATTGTTATTGGTGATAAACCATTGCCAAATTCACATACTTTACTCTTGATAGCTTTAGATAAAAGAGGGACTCCAATGAAGATCACCTTGTGTTCAATTTGTCTAAATTATCATCATATGGAACTAATTACTGTTACTTTATATATAGGTGTGAGCTGTAAAGGTTAAATATAAACATACCAGAAATACCATATTTTTAGCTATTATCCTAAGCATGCAACATCCAGCAATTACTTACGCTTTCAATGAAGTTTCACTAGTTTCGTTATACATCTTTGAAGAGAGCCTCAGTGAGAATAATATCATTCCAGCCTTCTTGCTTGATTGTAGTACATGGAAGTATGAGAATGTACATGTATTTGTTACAGGAGTCGATGTGAAACTAAAAAAGGGGGAAGCACATTTCAAGTCTGAAAAAATATTTTCTGGCTTGTTCCGTGTAAACAAAATTTGGGGCCCCTAACTCAAAAATAAGGCCCAAATTTTTAAAAAATGTATGTCTATTTTTTAGGAAATTTTTGCCTAAAATAAGGCTTAAAGAGGCCGAGTAATATCCAAAAAGGGCCCATAGTTATGGGGCAAACTTTTTCGGGGGGGGGGAGGGGCAAGACCTTATGCGGTACTAATTTGTAAAATTTGACTTGGTAGAGAGAAGGCTTAGACATGTTAGATGACTTAGTCAGAATCAACAATTTGAATGGAGTTGAATTGTTGAGTCAATAAAATGATTGAGGCTCTTCTGTTGTTGAAAACAATGCTGTGTCTACTTTTTTTTGATAATGGAATCAGGTGGTCTTCCTTTTAAAAAGATATTAAACTAAAGTATGACATTCCTTCTGACTATTGGGAAGCCCTGACACCCCCCCCCCTCCTCCCCCTGGCAACAGGCCTGGTATATTGAAATCTGTAAAAAAAGATATTAAGAGTTGCTTTTTAAATGATAATCTGAAACCATCATAGGATTGGGTGTAAACTGGCCCTTGATTCCTGATGGCATCAAATAAATATTGAATTGGTTAATCCAATATTATTTATATAGAATATCAACAGAACTGCTCATAAGCAGCAGAGCATCTGAAAATTGCCTTGAATGAGTCACATATTAACTAGTCAGTCAATCTGGGGACATATTTAATAGGTTAGCTTGATATAATTGAACATTGTTGTAAGCTTTCTCTTGGTCATCCTATCCTCTCTTAGATTGCATCTTGACAACTTATACTCTGGATACCACATATCGATTTGATATGCCATTCTTCCCATTTATTGTACAACAGGGTTGTGTAAACCTGGTTTCACTTGGGGGGGGGGAGGTGTTGATAAAGAGTGATATATTTATTATTATCAACTAAAACTTATGTAAATTGTAAATGGAACATCACTCAGTTATATTTGTTTAGAACCTCTGATCAAAAGCCAACTTTACATGTATGTCTTGCCAAGCCATGTCATCCCAAGTGTACATATAGCCATATATTGGCCTAGTATTGTGAGCCAAGTTCAATATGTTCGCAACAGTTGTTTTATACAGTACTGTCAACCCAAAGATTTTCTTGTGCCCAAAATTCGCCAGATTTTGCGGGACATCCACCTAAATTCATGGGACATTTATGGTATTTGTGTGATTGCACTAATGGGCCAAATTTTGTTTGAATTCTCAAACATTCGAGGGACAAACACGATAATTGCGGGATAGTTAACAGAGTAACCACCAAAGACTTCATAGAGGGACAGATTTTTTGTAGACATAGTGCCCTGAATTTGCGGGATTTCGTGGGACATTCACCTTAATTTGCGGGGTGTCACGGGACATTCAAGGGATTTGCGTGATTGGGACTTTATGTAAAAGTACTCAAATCAAACTTTCAGATACTGATTTATCAAATATAATGCACTTAACTCATGGTAAACGTGAACACAATTTCACACAATAAGCATAGAAATATTATTTAACTATCAAAAACAAAAACCAGGCTTTAGGTGTGAGTACCGTAATCCAACACGATATGGCTTTTGTGACCAAAGATGAAACGCTTACTTCCCATAGTGTTATATATTGAAATGTACCTATTCCTGTAGAGGTTTAGATTGATCTACATCAAATTATAGGGAGTCGGGTTTCTTTTCGAGATATCAGTGTCCATTTATTGTAACTTGTGTTTGCTAACATTTACTCAGTCCTGAGATGAAGGCCACACAGGTTCAATAAGTCCTGATAAAAATGCTTTTTTATTTTTTCATATATCTGGCAAATGTTCCTAGTATGCATTTTTGAGTATTATACTGATGTACTGTAAAAGTTACAGGAATGTACTTCAACAGGAAGGTGGTGCTTGGTTTAGCCAAGTGGTAAGTGGTGGATCAGGTCTGCATGAAAAAAATTTAAAAATGACTTAAAATGTGAATATTGCTCTTCAGACAATTGCTTGAGCACCAACTTGTCACACATCAATGTCATTTCTGAATCATAATGAATAACATGGTTTTCATGACCAACACTTGAGCCAGTCATGGCTGCAATTTTTTTGAATTGATCCAATATCTATTTAATGCATCAATCTGACTATGGGAAGTTACAGCTTTTGGTCATCCCTCTCTGGGTTCATCTTCAACTGACTTTCTCCCTTTTTGAAATAGCGGAACCAACAATACATGGAATTGTATTGTGGAACTAGTAAAACTGACTGAAGGTCAAAACAACTCTGTGTCAACATAAACAATATGTCCACCACAGCTAGTTTCTGTTTATATTTGTAGTCTAACTCTGGTGTCAACTTAACTGATGATGGTCTTGAAGCCTTTTTGGAAATAAAACAAAAGAAAAAACTGAGCTATGTGATGTACAAAATAAGCGACGACAAAAGATGGATTGAAGTAGAGTCCAAAGTGCCAAAAGGTAGGTTTAAAATGTAAAATAAAATTGTTGCAGGTGTTTTAAAGAGATGTAAAGTCTGAGTAATAAGTTGAGGTGTGAACTCTTACTTTTGATACCAGCATTTTTTCTGACTTCTTGTTTTGTATCTTACATTTAAATTTTCAGACATGCTATTACATCATTTTCTAACTGACTTTCTGCTTTTATAGTGGAGCCCTGCCTTTAACTACCATGAGAACTTAACCAAGTTCTAATTGACCCAAACAGAAGATTTTTGTAGTTTAATTTTCTATCATGTGGAGGGGATCATTAACTTGCTGTAGGAATCATACCTTTATAATTGTTATCCCACTGAACGAAGTTCGAGGGGGATATAGAAAAGCCGTTCATCCATCCGTTTGCCCGTCCATTCGTGAGTTCGGGCAATAACTCAAATACCTGTTTACGGATTTCATTCAAATTTTATAGGCTTATGCCTTATGGGTGTAGGACCTCTGGTCGAGAAGGAATTTTCCATATGGCTGCTTAATTCAAAATGGAGGCCATATATCGCAAAAATATAATAACTCAAATACGAGTGGATGGATTTGGTTTGAATCTTATATGCTGTTGCCTGGGTACAAAGGAGCCTTGCTCAAGAAGACATTTTCAAGATGGCCGCCATATGTCAAAATGGCGGCCATTTTTCGTAAAAAACATCCTTTGATGACTCAAATCAAATACCGGTTGACAGATTTCATTCAAATTGTATCAGCTTATGCCTTATGGGTTTAGGACCTCTGCTGGGTATAGCCGCTTAATTCAAAATAGAGGCCATTTTTAGAAAAAAATATAATCTAGTGAATGGATTTGGTTCAAATTTTATATGCTGTTACCTTGGAACAAAGGAGCCTTGCTCAAGAAGACATTTTCAAGATCGCCACCATATTTCAAAATGGCGGCCATTTTTCGTAAAAAATGTTATCTTGATAACTCAAATACCATTGAATGGATTTGGTTCAAATTTTACATGCTGATGCCTAGGGACATGAGAGCTCTGCTTGGGATTTTCAAGATGGCAGCTAAATTTCAAAATGGCCACCATTTTAATAAAAGAATGTAATCTTTGATAACTCAAATACCAGTTGATGGATTTGAAAATCATGTTTTGTTCAGTGGGATTTGCTACTCCGTGGAGTTGCTGTTTTTCTAGTTATTTGGGAATCTATTTAATTTCTTGCTTATTTTTCAACCAATTTCTTTAATTTTTCAACACAAAATAAGTAAGTACTATATATGTTTTGGTGTAAATCATTGCTTGACAGTATACATATATTTGCATGACAACGGAAATCAAATTTTATTTGAAATTATTATATTTGAAATAATTTCAAAGTATTTCAAACAAAAAGTCCTTCAAATCAACTTTGAACGATAAATCGGCAACTTGAATAATCATTCAATAATAACAATAACAATCTCAGTAGATCGATCATCCAAATGAGAATAAGTTCTATTAATTTCTCCTAGTCCAAGTAAAATCTTGATTCAAAATATTTTGCAATCCCTTCTAATAACCATTTGTAAACAACTACAAAAATGATCGAACATCTCCAAAATCTGTTAGTTTTAAAGAAAATGGCTTCACTTATTGTATTGTATCCTTATGCCTCCTATTCAAATACAAAAACTGTGGACCAGTGAATATGCTTCAAATTTGAAATATTGAGCTATACGTTTTAGTTAATCTTGTTGGCAATGTGTTTATTTATAAGGTACTGAAGATTGCGCGACTGCATGGAATAACTTAAAAGAGGTCTTGAAAAAAGATGAAGGCAGATATGTTGTATTTGATGCAAATTGGACATCTGACTCTGGTGGCTTTAAAGAAAAACTTATATTTGTTGCTTGGTAAGTAAGCCCTTTGCATTGATCCCAAACTTGCTTACATTTTTCTGAATTACTCTTTACTCTTTTAATTAGTCTTATACACAGGCAAATAACACCAGGCCCTGTACGAGCTTGTACGAGACTCAAGAATTACGAGTCAGTACCGGCAAAAAGGAGCACTTCGTACAAGCTCATACGAAACTGGTTTTTGAGGCCAATGCAAGCTCGTACAATGCTCGTAATTGTTGTTTTCGAAGCCTGTATGAGCATGTATGAGGCTCGTCATTTCGAGGCCTGTACAACCTCGTACAAGGCCCGTTATCAGGCGAAAATTACGAGCTATTACAGGCCTTGTAATTACAAGCTCTTACGACGCGTGAAAATTACAAGACTCGTAACGGGTCCCGTACGAGGTTGTACTGGGTCCATTGACTCAACGAGCTCAAGATGGGCTTGTACGGGGTCGATGTAATTTGCCCGTGTATTACAGTTTACTTGGTGTAATCTTGCTTTCTACAAACTAAAACATTTAAGATTTAAAATTTGAAAGCAAAGAATGTTTTGTATAGAGAATGGCTCTGTCCGTCCATCTGAGCAATAACTCAAATATCTATGCCATGGCCAGTACTAGAATTTAAATTTTATCATGTATATACAGTGTTCGCGTTGACGCCGTTTTTTCTCGTTTTTACGGAAATTTCAAGAGGTTGGACGGAAAAATCAGAAATAACTTACGTCCTTGGGACGCAAAGATTCTACACCACCATCAGGTAACTTACTGCAGCGTAGAAGTGATAAAACATGATTTTCTGAAGAATTTTCAGATCGTCTACTTCCTTGATCTCGATAATGTTTATGTCGGCAAATCTGATTGGCTACGAAGTGTCTCAGTATATTCGCGGGGTTTCTAGTCTGAAACGCAGCATTTGATTGGCTATGGTGCCCTCCGAGTCATTCCGGAGTATACCGAAGCTGGATAATCTGTTGTACGCAAACATTAGTTTCAAAATTGAGAATTGAGACTTGTTTTTCACGATAACCTTAATTACTTCTACGAGGAACCGTTAGATATCGATCTAATGTTATACATCAATATAATTATTTAATGATAGATCAACGTTTTTCATCTAAAAGTCGTCAGAGAAAGGAGAAATGTTATAAAAAGAAACAAAAAGTTCACGACCTTGACACGACCTTGAAGATCGCTGGTTGGTAAAATGTGAAAACAACTCTTAATTTGAATATTTCTTTCATTCATTTCGGAGAATTTTGGTATAGCATTAGTAAAGAATTGTGTGAAACAGTGGAGACGATAACCCCATTTAACGTGTAACACGGAGATTGCCATTTTGCACGTCTATTGACGTGAATCACGCCAATAAGCAGAATGTCCATTGTAATTCGTAATTTGAAACACCAGGTTAATTAGAAGACCCAGTGTTTACTATAAATACAATCTAAGAAATATTTCTTTTATAGTACGTATACTTAGGTAAACATTAATGATATATTAAATCCCAGGGAAGTATTTCATTCCAAAATTGTGGAGAAAATGCCGTCCAATCTTGTGAATTTTTTGTCAATGCTACGAACCAATGAAGTCACCACCGAACTTGGATTCTTGGAAAGTCTAAATCGATCGATGGAACGCTTTTTATTGCATTTTCTTCAAGTATTTAATCTAATCTAGCACTTGTATGCAGGAATTCGCGATCCTATGTGGGAATTTCGCGCTAAAACTAATCAAAGTTACCTCTCACGAATCCTAGATAAACGCCATATTGGAATTACTAATACTCCTTCAATTGTCTATATATCGTCTTTCCGACGGGTTTTACAACAAAATTGGTAGTGACCCAATGGTATTTTAATCTCTTAACACAACGTGAGCCCCAATTCCGAGAAAAGACCACTGGAAATCACTAAAATGGGGTCTACTTTCCCTCTTCTTTTTGACCGGAAGTGTTCTCCTGACCTCGATTTGTTGCTGATATTTTCGTTTTTTCCATACGAAAAACGGCTGGATTTCGTTTTTAAACCTTCTTTGCAATGATCTAATGATTACCTTAAATGAATTATAAACAATTTAAATTCCTATCCTCATTAGATCAGAATTTATTAGTTTTATTTCCATCGTTTGTTTACTTCCGGTTTGCTGTTGAATAGATATTTCATGTAAACATTGACGTAAGCACATCATAATTTTTGTTAGTTCAAAATGCAACCCGGACAATAGCAAATGTTTATAATTATAACTAATTACATACGATGCAGATCATGATTTACTCACTAGTTTCCCAGTTCATAACTGCCTGTCGTCCTGCCGATAATATGTGAAACTTTTAAAAGATAATAGTTTGCACGTCAATTGCCGTGCAAAATATTGCACGTCACTTGACGGACATGACGGCAATTGCCGTTATTGTCTATTGACATGCGCACTTATGCTTCATAATTTCACGTCAATTGTCGTGCAACATAGCAATTGCCGTACTTCACGTTAAATGGGGTTATCGTCTCCACTGTGAAAAGGACCAAATGATAGATATTTATCGGGAGAATGCATATAATTACAATACATTAGAGGTGTAACTCCCGAGTCAGTAACTCGAGTACAGCTCGTCAGAGCTGCCTATACATTGCCTCGAGTTGTCCTCTAGAAACTCGCAATCTATTTCAACTCGCGAGCTAGCTATAACTCGAGTCAACTCGCGAGTTTTGCCTATCTTGTAAGCATGTAAAATGAATTGGGGTCCCAGAGATCGTGCAACATTACTTCATTAGTGGAACAAATATACCAACGATCGCCATATTTAACGCTCGTCACCTAAAAAACACTCTCAAAGCTTCACAAAGATCAACAAATATTGTGGAATGACGAGTTACACCAAAAATATCAGAAAAAGATCGACTATCGAAGGAACTCAAGCGGGCGATAATAGAGAAGTCACTAAAATTGAATAAAATAGTCCCCTTATTCTCACGTCGTTTACACGACTTTTACATAAAAAAGATGATCTATCATTAAATTGAGATCCTAAGTCTTAACTTTAGATCGATAACCAGCAGTCTTTAGTATAAATAATGAAGATAATCCGCGAAAACCATTCATTAATTTGAGGGGCCCTTCATGGTTTTCTAAAATATTGTTTGGTTAGATTCTAGCGATCTCTCGCCCTTACCGTATGCGGCGATGTCTATACCAGATCGTTTTTGATTGAAATATGAGATAAATGCAATGAATACCACACTTTCATATGGCCCCAATGGGTTAAACAGCTTTTAGATGTGACTAAACCAGAGAAACTTGCCGCTAGAAGCTACAGTAATTTTGTATACCCGGGTTTACAACATGTACTGGACGAAATGAATGAACTCGAGTTTTACTCGAGTTTTGGAAATATTTGGCAAGTTGAACTCGAGTTGGATTTTTCTCGCGAGTTACACCTCTACAATACATGTCATTTTATCCGGTTTTAGCGGAAGCACTCTATTATCGCCCACTTTACTTTCACTTTAATATTAATAACAAAATATGAGGGACGCAAAAAATATTAGACGTGACTCACATTTTTCAAATGTGTTGCGTCCCTGGGACTCAGAAATTTAAATGGCTAGCGCGAACACTGATATATCTCAATTTGGAATTTTTGTGAAAAATCTAATTCATTCATCCACACTCCATGTAATTGGGAACATTTTTGAAAAATCTAAAATCATTTATCAGAACTGTGCATTTTTGGGATTTTTTGACAATTTGATGAGTGAGCGGCAATTTCGAAAAATGGTGACCACTTCTTATATGTCTTATGTAACGATTTTTGCTTTAACTGAAAAAGTAGTGGAGGAATTTTGTAAAAATGGCTGTTTGACGCTTGCGACAAGGAAAGAGATGAGCACATATCATGGTTGGCCAATAGCCCCACTATGCTTAATTTAGAAGAAAAATGATAAAATAATCATTGAGACATGTGACTCACACACTCAATTTAATATGATACAAAGTTTGATTTGCATTAATATTAAACCAGGAAAAAAATAACACGACAAAGTGCATGTATTAAATAAATTTTGATTTAATAGATGGCAACACTTCTATTAATATCAAGGGATTATGTGATACAAACAACTTCGCCATCTTTCAATGACATTGGTAAAAACTTGATAATAAAACTTCAGAGATCAAAATATTTTTTGATAATTTATTGAACGTTTTTATGTGGGCCGTTTGAGCTGTTTTTGTTCTCCAATGAAAGATAAAGTACTTATTAATCCATTGGAAATACTATCAAGTAGGCCTTTATGTAGTGGGCCTTAAACCTTTCAAAGCCCTGAAGCCCTGAATCACTTTGAACGCAACTTGTACCGATTTATATATAAAGGGTAAATGGATATTGTATATAGAATAAAGTGGGGTGTGTTCATATGATATGAGCAGGGATTTCACTAGAATTTCTCACAGCAGGCTAAATAAATAAAACCTTCAGGCAAAATGAATGGAAATCATAAATTCAACTTGGAAAAGTTGAAAAGTCCCTAAAAACAACAGGTGATTTTGTGAAAACAACCTGTGAAAGTCGCCTTTTACCAGCTGCTAATGAAACTCCTGTCTGAGTGTGATACATTATTTTGTAGTTAGTACAAGATATGATAACCTAAAATGGTGAAAAGGCAAGATAGTGCTACAGTGTATTATTATGGTCACCCCATTCTCTTATATGTCGTAACACCCGAAGTTTACGACGTTATACCCAGTATTTTTGGCGGGAGATTTGTAAGTACTCATTTATTTCGACATTTTGAAAGAATATGGTCCTTTCCCTTTTGTGGAAACATCGACCATACCATGCAGATGTACCTCTAGTATCACTACGTCTCAACATTTTGTCTGAACATGGTCGAAAAGTTCTTAAAGCTTCTAGAAAGCACAACAATTTCTTAAAAAATGGTATTTTTCATGAAAACCACATTTTCTACAATTTTAGACCTATTATATTGGAATATTGATAATAATGACAATA